GGGGGAGATTCTGCATGCTCAAAATTAAAGCATATATACTAAAATGTGTGTATACACCCCCTTATTTGTAAGAGACAAAATAACCCTTTAAAATGACATATTTGGAGTTGTTTTTTAAGATGAAATCATTAGATGTTAGAATATAAGAACAGGTAAGCAAAGTCACTGGTTAAAGCCCAAAATCGGGATTCTCCCTCCTAAATAGGGAGGGTTGGCAAGTATGAAATAAGGTATAATTAAGGTTACTGATAATCTAAAGGTTCTTTGTTGGAATATTTTAACATTCATGAACATTGTATTTTGCTTATGTGACCTTCAAACCCTGACAATCTTGGTGAAAAACGTGTGCACTAGTTATCCAGTCCGCCAGCCAATCATTTTCCAATGAATGACCTTGATCAACATTCCAGGTCATGGGGGTCAACTATATTAAACTATTGGAACAATTTATTCTAAATAAACATGAAGACTAGGATTATGAATGTCACAGATAAATAAGATTTAATAATGCAATAAAGTTTTGGATTTTATTTCTTCAGATTTTCGAGGTTTTTTTAGTCTGATGTTTAGTTCGCAGTTTCATCTGAGGAAAGGAAAAATACATTGATAACCTATGACATAGACTGGCCAATATCCATGGCATGTGAGAAATAGCAGTGTGAATAACTTCCACATCTTAACTAACTTGAGGATGTTTGCCAAATTTCATGTCAGACCTTTTAAAAGATGCGAGACATATCTATTAAAAAGAGTGACAGCATATTTAGTATTGCTCCTATCATCATGCAACTAACAATGTCTCATTAGAACTTAGGCGTTCCATTAGCAGGAAGGCAAGTTATCCCATTAAAGTCTTGATAACATATGGTTTTCCAAAGAAATTTGAGATTTCTTTACTCTCACTACACAATCAACTGCTTCAACTTCACTACCTTAACAGTCCTTGCTACCTCAACAGTCCTCGCTACCTCAAACATCATTGTTACCTAAAATGTCCAAGCTACCACAGACAAAGAAGCTGAGTAGGGATAATTAGACTATCAGAGACTTACTGTAGATTTTTCAATCTTGGAGCAGTTATATCCTACATAATGGTTACTTCTTTATTTTAAGCCATAGATTGATTATCCATTCCATTTCATTGGGTTTTACCATCAGCTGTTTGGCTGCTCAATGAATTGTCATTCATAACTGTCTAAGTCATACATAACTGTCTAAGTCACACATAACTGTCTAAGTCATCATAACTGTCTAAGTCATACATAACTGTCTAAGTCATCATAACCATCTAAGTCATCATAACTGTCTAAGTCATACAAAACTGTCTAAGTCATCATAACTGTCTAAGTCATACATAACTGTCTAAGTCATACATAACTGCCTAAGTCATACATAACTAAGTCATACATAACTGTCGAAGTCATCATAACCATCTAAGTCATCATAACTGTCTAAGTCATCATAACTGTCTAAGTCATACATAACTGTCTAAGTCATATATAACTGTCTAAGTCATCATAACTGTCTAAGTCATACATAACCGTCCAAGTCATAATAACCATCTAAGTCATCATAACCGTCTAAGTCATCATAACCGTCCAAGTCATCATAACCATCTAAGTCATACATAACTGTCTAAGTCATCATAACCGTCCAAGTCATACATAACTGTCTAAGTCATATATAACTGTCTAAGTCATACATAACCGTCTAAGTCATCATAACCATCTAAGTCATACATAACTGTCTAAGTCATACATAACTGTCTAAGTCATTTATAACCGTCTAAGCCATCATAACTGTCTAAGTCATACATAACCGTCTAAGTCATACATAACTGTCTAAGTCATACATAATTGTCTAATACTATGTACAGCACTGTGTTGAGGTATTTCACCCATCTTTAAACAAGATTGTCAGTAAAACAACAAACAAAACGTCCTTGTTTAACAATCAATGTATCAAACTTTATTAATGATATGCACCGATATTAAAATGACAAAGGGATTAACAGGATTATATATTACATATGTATACACATGTAAATGACACCAAATATAAATGTGTTATTCTAGTCTCACAGCTCAAAACTTAATAAGTAAAACAATAAATTATTCTTCAATGAAATAAGTCTATGAAGCATTAATAATTTATTCTTCAATAAATTCAAACAAGAGATAAAAGTGTAATTGGATTGCTGAGTACTCGGTGTATATAGATAATGCTTAAATGATGTCATACTTTGAGTGGGAAATAGGAATTCAAACATAGTTAAAAATGCAGTATCTGAATTGTTAGGTTTCAGTATTTCCATAATTGCATGATATATTTGATTAAACTGTTGCATAAATATAACATAAATCAAGTTTTTAAAAACAGCATCACAGCCTGGTGCATTTAGGTGTCATGTCAAGGCCTATAATTTTCCTTACTTTAAATCACTAAAATAAAAGATATATGTTCCTTAAGTTATATACAGTCTCATTAATACAATTGTTGAGAATTTCAATTATTTTTTTTAAATCTGTAATTTTTGGTTCCTTAACTGGTCCCACAATACTATTACATGAGATTCTGACTCGTGTGGCTTGGGAAAGGACTTGGCTTGAAGGGATATCAAATTATGTGAATCTACTTCCTAGAATGTGAGAAATGTAAAAATCTGCAAGAAATATCTCAAAAATGATTTTAACTGGTTAGAAAAATTCTGTTTTTCAAAAAAGTATAGATATTTAAAAAAAGTATAAGTATACCCATTATATCAAAACCGTTTTTAAAGTATTAAAAAAAAATTGACATTAGCCTCCGAAAATTTTACAGAATATTTCCCACATTCTGAACTTACTATGAAAATATGTATGACAAAATACTGGTCCTAACTCAACATTATATCTGATGTAGACGCAAAGTGTGGCTCATCTGGGCTTTCATTAACGAATCTGTTCTCATGCTCAGTGTTCTGAGCTCAAATAGACTTTCTTGTAACTTACTTAAATCATGTGACATGGTCAGGTAGTCAAGTGTAAACACTAAAAACATAATTTGGCGTGGAGTTTCTCCAAAATCATCTACAAAATGTGATTCTTTATTCATTAATCACTAGAACAAGAAATTGGGCTGGAGCACGGAGTCTCAGTATGAGCATGAGAACAATTTCATGACTATGGGCCCTGATATAGGTACAAACACAATGTAATAGTCCAATCTTAACAATATAGTCCATGTAGGTACAAAGTATGACCCACTCTCAATAACATATATGATATATGCAGGAACAAGCACAAAGTTCATTAATTTATTTCATATACGCATGTACAATAAAAAGTACCATACTGGTCCTATATCAGCAATATATCTGATATTGGTACAGAAGATAGCACTGGTCCCAACTCAACAGTATATCTGATGTCTACAGGTAACCCTTTATAAAGGCTGATAAGGGTGGCACAGGGTGATGTAGGATGACACAGAGAGTTTTATAGAGGCTCAAGATGGAAGTAGACTTCAGGGTGGAGGTTTGTTTGTTTGCGGTTTTACGTACTAGTAACAGCCAGGGTCATATGAGGACGGTCAGAGGATAGAGGTGAGTGGTGCAAATTGAATGAAGCAGGTAAATATGGGCATTCCAAATTATTGTTGTACCTCAGTAATTGCTATAAGACATTTATATAACATCCCATCTAATTTGCAAAATTCCTCTAGGATACTTTAGTTCAATCACAATAATGTATCTGAAGTACGTAAAACACAATTAAAAGTATCGATTTTATCTTGGAACATAAAACTCAACACAAGTAATAATGGTAAAGACATTAACTATATCTAATGGAAAATCTGTCAAGTGAGCACTACTGGACGGATGTATTAATATCACAATTCAAATAGTCGTAAAAACGGAATCACATGAAAATATAGGAAATATTTTATAACAAATGTAGGAAATAAAATATTCCTTATTTGGGAATCAAATGTAAAAACAACAACCTCTATACAGGTACATTACTTAACACAAACTATATTTAATCAAACCTTTCAAACGTATTGTTGGTATCTAAGAAGTGAATAATTTATCTTTACATAAATCCTAATTATTTTCTTAAGTGTAAATAGTCAATGTCCTATTTATGAAAAATTAACATAAATGTGCACATACAACCGTATTTAACTTATTTCCTGTTCTTCTATAAATGCTATACATAAAAGAGATAAGGAAATATCAAGTGTAAACTATGTTTAAAATAAGTGAAATAAAATCCAGCACATTCTGATCAACGCCTTCATCATTGTAGTCAAGGAGCTTGGTAGCTTTTAGGACAAAATAATTCTATGAATTTAGAACAGTCTTTGCATATAGATCAATAATATATAAGATCTATTCTCCCCCACACCCCCCTCCACAGCCTCCCCCACATCCACCTCCATCCCCACCCCCACATCCACCACCACCTCCATCCCCACCCCCACATCCACCACCACCTCCATCCCCACCCCCACATCCCCCACCACCTCCATCCCCACCCCCACATCCACCACCACCTCCCTCCCCACCCCCACAACCACCTCCCCCGCCACCACAACCTCCTCCACCGCCACCACAACCTCCTCCACAGCCGGCACCACAACCACCCCCACCGCAACCACCCCCACCATAGCCACCACAGCCATGGGAACCAAAGCTTCCCCAACTGCCAGAGCCCCATCCATGGTACCCATAGCCATAACCACCCCATCCCCAACCGTATCCCCAGCCATAGGGACGGGCCATTCCATAGGCTAAGGCTCCTCCAAGTACTAATCCTGCAATGAGAAAATGGTTCATGGCTTAAACTTCTATTTTAAATTCTCCTGTGCAAAACACAAATTCAAAATTTGAATTCTTCTATAAAAAATCACACATTTAATTTGTATAACCTTGTATCGAATATACTGTTTTTTTTTATTTATCTTTTTAAAGACTTGGCAGTGTTGAAGAGTGATACCTGAATATTTATCAGACATACCTGTCGCGAATCCACCATCACCACTACTGTGATGGGTCTGTGTATGATGGGTGTTATTTACAACCACTGTCGTAGGTTGTCCTATGTAAAATAAAATATATAATCATTTCAAAAGAATTATATAAATATTAGTTAACAAATATATAAACATTTGTAGAAAATTATATAAACATTTGTAGAAAATTATATAAACATTTGTAGAAAAATATATGAACATTTGTATACAAATATATATAGGCAAATATTAGTACACAAATATACAAACATTATTATACAAGCATATATATATTTGTATTCAATTAAAAATGAAAATAAAAAAAAATATCATAAAGTCCCTCACATGCACTAACAAGTTTGAGGCAGCCACTGTGTCTCTGTCACCTGCGTTATGTTTTTACATATGCATGGCTACAACCCTATATCGAAAGTGTGATTATAAGTGTTGATAACACTGGTAAATTACAATAAATAACAATGCTGACCATACATTTGTTGAATATGGGGAATATGTATACAAACCTGCATACTGCTGAGGCTGTGCACCATCTGAGGACAAAACAAGTTCCACCATTAGAAAACACAGGCAATGTGATTACTATATATTTTATCTGTCATCAACTTAATGTATCAAAAGTAACATTCATATAACACTCAGGTAAAATATGATGTTATTATAGCTTTATCTATATTCTTCACACATTTTTTTATAATTATTCTTTTGGGGGGGTTCAAAAATATTTTTGACCCAGTACAGCCATTTTTCAATATTTAAAATTCATGAATACAGTCACCATATTCAGTTGCACATATTACATAAAATAACATGATTTATAAATTCAATATTAAATAACTTAGATATACATTTTCATGTACATTTCTATGAGGCAACCTTTTCAAATTTGTTTCCCATTTCCTGACATCATGAATTCATTTCTTGATAAAGAAAAATATTATTGTATTCTATTGTACCTTAACTGAAAGGAGGTCTCTTATAGTAAATGAATGAAATGCATCAATATTTATGATAGAACTACCACAGGTAACACAGTTGGGTTCAAACGTTTTGCATGATGTGTAGTACGGTTGTTTTTATACAATTACATGCATACACTTGGGTTGCCCAACCTTAGGTGTTCATTGTATTTGTTATCAAATCAATAAATCTAGAATTATGTATTGCAAGAAAGGGGGGAAGTCAAAAATGTGTTCTTAGTATCAAGAAATCAAATTTTTGAAATTAGGAATAAAATAATTAATAAAAAGCAAAATGGCACCTTATCATCTTTTCTAGACTACATGTAGCCTAAAAATGCATACAGCTTGACCTGTCTTACTTCATAGATGTTTTTATAAAAAGTGTATAATTTACATGAAGAACTCAAACTTACCTATATTCATCCAATAAGAGGTCTATCTCAATTTGAACAAAATAAGACAAGGAAATGGTTCACAAAGCTAACCCACCAAGACTTTGACCTCTAGGGTGCAATATCAGACACAAAGTCCATCTATGCAGTTTCATATAACTATGTTCTGACCATAAATACTTGTTGGTAAGTTGGCAAGCTGGACTAAAATACAGCTACAGGCAGAATATCAGTATTTGATTCATAAGAACGTATTAAAAGATTTAAATATATGATGCCTTTGACCTTCCCAGTATGCTACAGGCCCAATATCAGTACCTTGGGCCTTTTGGTTATTGAGAAGAAATTGTTTGAAGATTTTAAGACATTTGACCCATGTGACCTTAAAACTGGGTCAAGGTCATTCACTTGGACAAACTTGGTAGCCCTTCATCCCAGCATGCTACAGGCCCAATATCAGTACCCTGGGCCTTTTGGTTATTGAGAAGAAGTGGTTTGAAGATTTTAAGACATTTGTCCCCTGTGACATTGAAAGTTGGTCAAGGTCATTGATTTGAACAAACTTGGTAGTCCTTCATCCCAGCATGCTACAGGCCGAATATCAGTACCCTGGGCATTTTAGTTATTGAGAAGAAGTTGTTTGAAGATTTTAACAAATTTGACCCCTGTGACATTGAAAGTGGGTCAAGGTCATTCATTTGAACAAACTTGGTAACCCTTCATCTTCGAGCCAGGTAGGCTAAAAAAACCTGGAAATGTCAGCACAAAATGCAACAATTGAAAATGTACAGCCTGGACAGGCATTGCAGTAATTTGATATTTCGACCATTGTTGTGACCTTGACCTTAGAGTAAATAACTGTTTGTGGTGTACAACACAGCATGACGTCATCATACTCATCATGTTTCATAGTTTTGTCAAATACACTTCAGGAGTTTGTGATGATCCTGATATATATTATTGTGAGTTTACCTTCAAACTCTTAATTCTTCATCTTGCTGACCATGACCTTCGATGCAAACAAAAATTGAAGTGACTTGACATTTGACCCTGATATTGAGGTCACAAACTTCTGTGAGATGCACAGCATATTGTGTCCTGAATCAAACAATATCCAGTAGTTCAGAAATCAAAGTTGGGACCAACTACACTTGGGTATGAAACTAATTTTTACTAATACAAAATACAGACTTACAGGGTTGCTGACCATAATGGTTAGGAGGTGCTCCACCATCTGCAAAATATAAGGACAAATATTGTAAGGTTGAACTGAAACAGTTGGTTCAATGGTATTCACAACATTAGAACTCATTCTGAAGCTAGCAGCAGTAACTTAATTCCTTATTTCGTGTACTTACTTGGATACACTGCTGGATTAAATCCATATGGCACTGGTGGTTGGCCGTTCTGTGGCTGAGACATCTGTCCTTGAGGTGCAGCGGGTTGAGGAGGAGGATGAGATGGCTGAGGAGGGGGAGGTAACTGCAAAAAAATAATTAAGCCAAGTTTATACACAATTCTAGCGTGCTGCTGCTGTTGTTAAAAGACATGCATCATTTAACAATAATACATATGCATACAATGCTATTCCAAAAGCCGAAGTTGTATTGTAATTGGAAACAAGCTGAAGTTAGCCATGTGGGTCTTTGACAAATTAGCTTTGTTGAGTGAGGGCACATGTGTGCATATAAATATATCTAAACATTTCCACATATATCCATATCACATTTGCACAACTGAGCACTACTGGCTGTGGTGACCAAAATTATGACGTCAGTTGTGAAAATGACTTGTTGATGCAATAAAAAGGAGGCATCATGTGACAGTTTGTTAAACAATTGGATAATCAAGTATACATTGTCTTATAGTTACTGAATCATACAAACAAAATGTAGAAGTGCATGAAATACATAACTTGGAATCCTAAATGTTGGGAAAATATCAACCTGAGCAGAAACAGCTTTCGTTCAGTTTTTTCCCCCAATTTTCTTTTCTTCCCTGTTACATGTTGACAATTTCTTTATTACACCCTGCTTTCAGTAAGAACCAATAGGAAATGGGAATGATATCTTAACTACAGGAAATAGTTTACAAACATTGACAAGAGGCCCAGAGGTTTTATCTCAAGTTCCCTTATTGGGTTCCACTCCTCTGCCCCCAGGGGGGACCAAACCCTAAGTTTATATAAAATTGAGTCCCCTTTGCCAAAGGATGTTCAAGGCCAAATTTAGAAGTTTTAAATGAAAAGTTGACAGACGAACGACAAATGCTGCACCATGGCATAAGCTCACTTGCCCTTCGGGCAGATGAGCTAATAAATCTGACTTAGTCTTTTGAAAGAAGTTCAAATTTTTATTGCTTACCACTTTCTGAAATGCCTCCACCCAATATCTGGAAAAAAGAAGGAAAGAAAACAGATATTGTAAAATCTATAGAACATTCAGTATCAGTACAGACAAAAGTAGAATCAAGTAAATATGGGTGCATGATCATATCAAAATAACAAATACAGGCAATCATATTAGAAATAGGCTAACAAGGATGGGCCATCATATTAGAAATATGCTAACAAGGATGGGCCATCATATTAGAAATAGGCTAACAAGGATGGGTCAACCTATTAGAATAAAGAAAGACTGGCAATCATTTATGTTACAATAATTTAAATCTTTTTGAAACAAGCATTTCTATTCGTTTATTTTTTTATGTTATCAGTTCATAACATAAAAAAAAACTGACGAAAGAACTGAAACAAGCGTTTTGATTGGACGACGGAAACAATTACGTTATGACGTCGGCGTATTGATATTTTGAGTTGATTTTGAGTATTGCATCATTTGATGCGTGATTTATCAAACTCAATGTTTGAAAATATTTAATAGTTTTTTATTTAAACTTGAATGATTTTTTTTTACACTACTGAGCCCTAACATAAGAAAATATAAACCACTAACGGTTTATTCAGGTTACACTCCTTTTTTTATGTTATGGCTCAATAACGTAAAAAAATAATTCAAGTTGATACTTAAATAATACATGTTATAATTTTGACTGTTGAATATATATTCTTCTTAGCACGAAAGTGTCTCCACATCCCTGACTGAGAGACTCCAAAGTTTGTGACTCAGGATCGTGAATAGCTTGCTTACTTTAAATCCGATTCACCAGAAAATAATATCCATATGACAAGCAGATTCTTGTTTTTCCTTTTGCCTCTGACAGGTTTGTCGCTAGGCAAAGCCATCAGTGTTTCAATGGATTGCCCTTGTGGGAGATCTGGTCTGTCTGGAATGCGCATACACATAGTTCCAAACCCAACATGGCTTGCAACAGACTGAAATTAAATGAACAATTTCAACATAAACAAGAATTATCAAAGTTTTCACACTTATACTGTTATAGATCTGAAATAGCTGTGTGCCTATGACATTGCATACAACTTGTGAACAGATTAGGATTATTAAAAAAGTTACACACATTTTATGATTTACGTTGTGTGAAGCCATGTTATTCATTCAATGGGACGGAACTTGTAAATATGTGTATAACACCTTTGACATTCTGAGTGTTTATAGCATTCATATTTATTACATCCGCCTATTATAAACTCTGACAAGATCTCCCAACTGACCTTGGCTTGTAAGGAAAACTAAAAAATAGATCAATGAATCCTTTGCAGCTGAGAGTTTGAGCCACACTTACCTTGAGCCGTGTCTGTCCTAAAGGTTTTCCATCAAAGCGATCGTCGAACCACTGAATGATGGAGTCTTGATACAGTACTAGATATTTCCTTTCCCAGTCACCACCAAAACAGCTGGCTGTAAGAAGTAAGCATGACACATACTAGTTAAATACAATAATGTAAAAGGTAAATACTGACAGATTCAGATAAACAAGAGGCCCAATGGGCCTGCATCGCTCATCTGGTATAAATCTCACAATTGTAACCTTAAAAGTAGACTAAAATAAAGTTACAGGAAAAATATCAGTGTCCTGACTTCAAAGTCATTAAAAAAAAAAATTAAACACATTTGACCTCTGTAACCTTGGAAGTCAAACAAGGACATTAAGTTGAACAAACTTGATAGCCCTTCATCCCAGAATGCAACTTGCTAAATATCACTTCCTATACCTTTTGTTTATTGAGAAGATGAATTTTAAAGATTTATACACAATGACCAGATGTGAACTTGAAAGAGTGTCAATGTCATTCATATGAACAATCTTGAAAGTTCATCATCTGAGCATGTTACTGGTTACATATCACCATCCGTTGCATTTCGGTTTTTCAGAAAAAGTCATTTAAAGTTTTGTTTTTTTTACATATTTGACACCTGTGACCTTGAATAAAATTCAAGGCCATTCTTTTGAACAAACGTTTCAAACCGTTAATCCCAGCATGCTACTGGCTTAATGTCATCATCCTAGCCATCTTTTTGTTTAGGAGAAGTCATATAAGTTTTTTGACATATTTGACCCTTGTGACCTTGAATATGGATGAAGGTCATTCATTTGAACAAACTTGGTAATCCTTCATGCATGCATGACACTAGCAAAACATTATCACCCTTGACATCTTGGTTATTCATCAGAAGTCATTTATAGTGTTTTTTTAGACAATTGACCCCTGTGACCTTGAATATAGGCAAAGGTAATTCATTTTAACCTGTGACCTTGAATATAGGCAAAGGTCATTCATTTTAACAAACTTAGTAACCCTTCATTCCAGCATGCTTCTGGCCTTATATCATCACCCTGGACCGTTTGGTTATTTAGAAGAAATTGTTTCAATTTTCCAACATATTTGACCCCTGTGACCATAAATAGAAGTCAAGGTCATTCAATTGAACAAAATCGGTACCCCTTCATCCCAGCATGTTACTGGCCAAATATCATCATCCTGGGCCTCTTGGTTATTCAGGAGAAGTTGTTTTAAAGTTTTAAACATATGTGACCCCTGTGACCTTGAATATAAGTCAAGGTCATTAAATTGAACAAACTTGGTAGTCATTTATCCAAGCATGCTACTAGCCAAATATCATCATCCTGGTTATTCAAAAGTAGTTGTTAAAATATTTTAATATATTTGACCCCTGTGACCTTGAAAATGGGCAAAGGACATTTGAACAATGTTGGTAGCCCTTAATCCTAGCATGCAACTGGCCAAATATCATCAGTCTGGGCCTATTGGTTATTCAGAAGAAGTTGTTTAAAGTAAGAAGTTGACGCCGGAGGGATGACAGATGGATGGACGACGAACGCCACACCACGGCATAAGCTCACCTGGCCCAAAGAGGGCCAGGTGGGTTAAAAACATTGGGAACATATATATACATGTAATTTTATATACTCAAAACATGCTGAACAAGGACACAGTTCATACTCTTTTGCAAGGTAGTAGTATGTTACGAATTGATAAACATTAAAACCTGGGCCCCTTACGTGCAGACCCCAAACACAACACTGACACAACCTTAGTTATACTGACACATCCACTCATCCAAATACACCTGCAAATATTCGCTCTTCCCATGTATCATAATACAATGGAATTATCTCCTTTCAAACAGCATCACTCAATGCAAAACACTTTAAGAATTCAAAAGAAGTACCACATACAGTACAGCATAATAGAAGACATAAAAATTGTGTAACGGCTGTTTGACACAACTAAAATATCCTGGTTTTAAAATCTTTTCGTCTTGTAGCAAAATGCAAATAACAAAAATAAATGAAACATTCGTTCCTGTTACAATTCATATCTGTGGTCCTCACTGTCGTGATAGGAAGTTAGAACACTGATTGTTTTGATGTTCGAGGGTAACCTTACAATAAAAAGGTGAGTAGTGTGGCAGATTTTAAATGTGCATGTGATTACAGTTGCCTTCGATTCTAGCTTTGAGTTAGAGTTTCTTCAATTTGTAGAGGGCTGAACTGGAAAGCTAGAGGTCGCAGGTTCAATCGCCAGTGGAAACACACTACTCTCTTTCCTGTTACAATAGCATTTAAATTCCATTAAGTATTATAAAGAGCATTCTGTTCTAATGAACAGTAGTTGTGCTTAAACACAAGTTATTAATTTTGCCTGCAATCCTGTTCCTTGTTATAGGACCATAACGCAGAACAGATTGCTGTTTTATGCTTATATTAACATTTGTATAATTTTCATATCTAAGTTCACAACACTCTTTTTCAATCAGAATTTCGCTGTTTGTTCAAGAGGTAGACCAACTCATGGTATTGCTTACGGAAATATACACAAAAACATTGATACAATTTATTTCTATAATTTAATCAATCAATATATTCAATTCACATTTTATAATAGTCTTAAATAAAATGGTTAATATTCATAACACGGAACTGGCCTTGGTAGTGATATATAGTGGCAATGCAGAGCAAATGTAAATATATATTGATATACATACTGTATCAGGTATGCCACATGATTTTTTACACACGTGGATACAGGCTGTTTTTCTGTGTGACATATATACAGTGTATGTATTATGAAGTTGGATTTTAAATAAAAGATACTTACAAGAAAAAATTTCAACAAATCCTTCTTTCACCCTAGGAGTGGTATCTGAAATCAGAAAAGCAAAGTAAAACAGTTGACTTGTAAACCTCTGGGGTCCCTCAAGGAACCTGTTTGGGCCCCATCCTCTTCCTCATCTACATCAATGACTTCCACGAATACATGAAATACAGCACACTTAGACTGTTTGCAGACGACAGCATCATATACAAGACGATAAACAACAAAGAAGACACACTAAAACTTCCATATGACCTTGACGCAGCAAAACAATGGGAGGTGGACTGGTTAATGAAATTTCACCCTGACAAATGCAACATACTCAACATTACACCGAAACGCAACACAATACACCATGACTACAAACTCCACAACCACACATAACACCAAGTAGAATCAAGCAAATACTTTGGATTAACAATACAAAATAACCTATGATGGGACAAACATATTAACAACATCACAGCCAATGCCAATAGGTCCCTAGGTTTTCTAAAATGCAACTTAAAAATAAACTCACCACATATAAAAGAACATGCATCAAAGCACTAGTCAGGCCAAAACTTGAACACTGCTCTTCCATTTGGGATCCACACAACACAAACCAAATTAAACAAAAAGAAAAAAACATAACGAAGAGCAGCATGCTACGTACAAAACAGTTACCACAACACTAGTTCCATAACAGATATGATCCACACACTACAATGGCCAACACTACAAACACGGCGCTGTCACACAAGAATTATCCTTTTTTACAAAATCATACACAAAATCGTAATTTTAAACCCAACTCATATACGCACACCCGTAGACCCTCGCACCAGACATGCACACCCTCACGCATACAAACACATATCTACTACAAAAGACACCTACAAATATTCATTCTTTCCACACACAATAACACAATGGAATCTCCTTCCCATAGCAGCAGTACAATGCACAACACTAGAGGACTTCAAGGCACACTTACCCTACACAGCCCTTGAAGCCCTCATCACACGCTAAACATACGCCAGATTTTATCTTTTTATCTATACCTTGCACAAAAAAACCCACACAAAAACCCACCCTAATCACTGTAATTAAAGGACCCCCTTTTTCATGCCTCTGCAGTAGGACCAATAGATATAGGTGCAAGATAAATAAATTTAAAATCGTTTCAATTTTGGCCTACATACACGTCTGCATGAACGCATTAATATCAATTTAACTTTGTTAAGTCGGATTTAACCAAACAAAAAATCAAACGAAAGACAATCCTCAGCTGATCCTTCATATGAGGGTTGACAACCTGTTAGGCTGTTTGGTGCGCCAAAATATCGCTAAACACTTACTGCTAACACCAACAGATGCTTTCCCGGATGCACACCCCATTTTCGATGGTAGTTATAAAGTCGAATTTGAATATTGACATCAAGAAAGTACTATAAACACACGTTTCCTTATTGTGAACATTATGAAATAGGCTAGAAGAATGATGTGTTCCCAAGTTACATGTAAACAATGATGTTTTCTGATCTTTTCCTTAAAACATAAGAAAACTCCCGAAAACACGGAAGTTCGGTTCTAAAAGCTAGTTTATTTACAGATGTTATCATTTGATGTACAAGTTCCCTATGGAAAATGATGTTTATATTTTGTGATTATACGCCTAAGTGTTTGAATAAAAAATAATTAAACTTTTAAAAACGTTTTGTTCAAAAAAATCTTTTATTCGAAACTAACACTGGAATCTGGACTTCCGGAGAATTAACCCGCGCGTTTCGAAAAGTCGTACAGAAGTTGCAGTAAGGAATCTTTAAGTTATAGGTATGTATGGCGTTAATCAAGAACAGTGAATTAGTGACAATTACCAAGACGTTTTATTACATGTCACCCTGATAAAACACTAGCCACTTCCTACCAACTCGGTAATGATTCGGTAAACCACACCCTGAATCAGGCACTGAGGCAGAGGCCCCAGGTTCGACTCCTACAGTAGCGTTCAAGGGTTTGAAGATAAAAAATCTTTACTGAAATGGGAAATAAAATGAAATAAAAACAAGTTTATAAACACTTAATTATGAATCAATAATAAGACAGAATGGTCATCAACACATTTTTTAAAATGATACAATGCTGTTACATGATATGCACATCATGGCTAGCATATGTATATAGCTGCGATAACGTAGCTTTCTGACGACGAGAGATTTGTTTATATATTTCGTCGTCAGAGAAGAGGAGGCCGGGTATTGATATTAGTACTAATATATATATAGTGATGGACCAGTGGCAGTGATCAATTATAATTAGATTGATCTGTTTTTCCAGTTCTTCTTCCTCTTCCATTATCAGGTCGGGGAAAACCACTAACTTGCGTATCATGTGCAAACTCGCCTATTATACGCCAATAGTGGTATGGATTTGTTACTAAAAATAGGAAAAATCACTTAATCTTAAAATTTTTCAAATTGTTTGTCCAGGTCGTATTTATTCTTTCATGAAACATAATACAAATGCAAAAATAAACTTTATTTGCGTGTGAGAAAGTACCAAATATAGATGCAATACTTCCGGTAAAGTTACATCAAGTTTCTAAGTAGCCATCGCTTTCAGTCAACATATTTTAGTAAAATATTATTTACCTTGTCGTAAATTAATGCTATTTTCAGTAATATCTTGCAAAAGTTACTGTTAAAGCGATTTGGGTTATTTTTAACAGGGGTCCCAACAAGTTGAGGCATATATTCTAAAACTGATCTTACAAGAGTAGTGTATGCCTGTGATTTAACTTTCCTAGTACATGAAGATGTATTTCGACATAAGAAGCCCAAGTCTTATTGGCCTTGTTCGTCACTGATTGAATGTGTTTGCCCCAAGTTAGGTCTGAACTGAACGTGACACAAAGATTTTTGTTAGTATCTACATTTTCTAAAATCTGATTATGAAGGGTATAATTAAAAAATTAATTATAATGATGTTTCTTTATTTAGATACGTTAATAATAGAACATTTACTGGTGTTAAAATTCATTTGCCACTTTTCTTCCCATTTTTCTTAAGACTTAAGGTCATTATTCAACTTAAGCCTCTGTCACACATTCAGGATTTTTACTGTCGTCCTTGATAGGACCACTCCTGATTAAAATTGTCAAAAGTCTGATCAAGATCCTGTGATTCGTGGCGGGAAATTCACAAATTTGTGAAAACATTTATTTAATCACGACAACAATCAGATATTGTTCAGGAAGCGTCCCATTCAGCCGTTACCAGGCAAATTTGTCCCGATTCTCCCGTTCTCAATCTAAATCTGATCCGATTTGTATCTTCCGCATGGTAAAAAACGACCGAATCTGATTCACCGACGCATTCGACAAGATCTGGACTTAATCGGCAAGAAACGACAATGAAAAATGTCTCCAAATCTTGCCAGTTCATCATGACAGCGTCCCGATCCACAGGACACCATCCAGACAACACAGGATAATGTTACGATTTTGATCCGATACAGCAGAATCCGTCACAACATAGTCATGTTTGTAATCAGACTAGACAAAATCGGCTGAGTTTCCCGAATGTTACGGGACGCACCTAACTGTCGGAATTGCTTCGCCGACCTCTCCTGATCATTCCTGATCCATAGGATTCTGTTACGAACGTATACGACTGCGTTCAGACAATGATAGGACATTCCAGATCATTGAGGATAGTAATTCGACTTTTTCGCTTTTCGTGATCAAAGCGCTGTCTGATCTCAAACAGGAGCCATAATCGGCACTGTGTGAACGCCGCATAAGCACAATCTTCAATGGAGTTTATTTGTGTATATAATAGACAGTCATCAGCATATAGTTTTATGTTACACAGAAATGAGTTGACAATATCATTGATATACACCAAAAATAGGAGAGGGCATGTGGACTGTCCCCTGAGAAGATAGAACAGATATCCGATTATGTTCCATTTAGCAAGACTCTGGGTTCTAGAATTCAAAAACTGAGATATATCCAAATACATGTTTGGCTGTTTATACCACAATAAGTAAGTTTAGATAGTAGCTTTTGATGGGGAACCTTTTAAAGGCCTTTGAGAAATCTAAAAGTGCAATATCTGTCTGTTTGTTTTTATCTATGTATCTGGCTAAGTCATCAATAGTTAAAATAAGTTGAGTTTCGGTAGAGTGCTTAGAACAAAAACCATGTTGAACATTTGTTAGAATATTGTTTCTGTCTAGAATTTGTTATTCTTCAGATTATCGATTACAATTTACAAATTCCATATAAATCATTCTAATTAATTCTTACTGGACCCAGTTGTTAAATGTATGCAATGCATAGTACAATAATTATGCATTGAAATTGAAATAACTTCATTTTTTTCTTTTTTATGATTGATGGTAATGTTGGGGGAAAAAAACAATCAAAAAAAGTTGGCTGTAATCCATTTAATATAAAAGAAGAAAATCTAATGCATAGTAAACAACTCTTGTCTGTGGATCTGAACCTGAAAAAAATAGTACTTGACATTGTGTTGTCATTTTATTTGGGTATTCAGTCCCATAAAAATATCAAGTTATCATGCATCAGTTTGATTGCAATTATTTACAAATCAATTGTTAATTATGATTTTGACCCGATTGACCAACACTATAGTCTGGCTTTCAAACCTATCAACATTATTCAGCTAGTTGTATATAGCTAGTATAGCTAGAACTTGTATTAAATAGGCAGGAAATTCCCTCAACTTTCGGAGATTGTCTCGCAATTGTGAAATTCCTTTGTTTGTTATATTATGGTTAGTCCAACTCCAGACATCTATACTTGAAGGGTAAGATATTGGGGTGATCCCTCCTTCAAAGATTGTTTGATTACCCTGGTAACAATAAATTAATGATTTTCAATCATTTTTTTATTCTTTTATGTACAATTGTATAAGACAACTGATTTCAGCATGCATAAAACAAATACAAAGAAATCTCACCAATGCAAGACAATCTTGAGAAGTCGTGGGAATTCCAACCTGCTAAAATAATTAGTAATCTTTGAAACAAAAAATATTTAAAAAAAAAAAGATAAATATAAAAAGAACAACAAGCAACATGCTTCTCTGTGAGATGAAACCTGTAAGGGCGGGTTCATGTAGGCGCAAAACCCTTCAACCAACCAACCAACCAACCAACATGCTTCTCTAGATCTGGTGTTCACCAGTGGTCAGCATTGCAATTTTGCCAACATGTACATTGGCCTATTAGTTTGGTGAAATGAAAACTAAAAAGGCATTTTATGCCCTGTTATTTATCATTTGCTATCTAAAGAAGTGCAGAAAGGACCATAATGAAACTCATAAACAATGGCAACTTATAATTAGCTTAAAATACTGAAAATCAACAAAAACTGGAAAATTCTAAAAATCGGTAGGAACCACACCTTGTCCTATCTTAAAACATGGTAAAAATTGTACTGGTTTTTCATAAAAAATATTTCCAGGGACGTATAGGACAAAATGGTTTGGGACGTTGTGAATGCTAACTTTGAAGGAGATGAAACAGTGAATTTTGGGCCAAGGAAGGAATCTGGTATAGCCCTGTATCAGATTGACACAATAGCAACTGTTTCCCCCAGGAAAGAGGTTTGTAGTATTGAAAACATTCATTTTCTCACACAGTACTAACATATGGTCTTGCCAAAATTGTGCTACTGCAAGTGTCTTTGTTTGCAAAATTAAGCATCAAAGTAATTGATGTTGCCAGTTTTTATATGACCGTCAAATTTGACGGTAGTATTATGGTATGGCTCCGTACGTCCGTCCGGCGTAAACTTTGTTTGTCTGGCAATCTCCTACTACATTTTTCGACCGATCTCTTTGAAACTTGGTATACATTATAATCATGATATGAAGTTGTGTCTCCCTTAAAAGAAGTTTGAATTGACGATTTTTGCAAAATTTATTGCCTTTTGTTCATTTCAGTATTTGATTTTTTTTCTGAAGATTTTCTCCTACATTTTTTATAGCATATCAGCTAACCACTCTTAGAATGATGCAGATCTTATTTCAATGTAAGAAAGTATATAACACTATATGGCATTCGATGGGGGTATTTTGTTCCGCCCCGCGGTACTCTTGTTTTATTTGGAATGGAGACTGTTCACTTTATAGTTCAATGTAGTAGGTACACAAATATATTGCATGTACCTGAAAAACTTATAATGAATATTTTTTAATCTCATTAGTATATATATATATATATATGTATAAATCATGTGTTTTTGGTGAATATTTATATTTATATGTGGTTTTGAATTTTGTACATTAAATTATAGTTGCAGTTTTAAAGATCAGATCTAGAATTGGTCACAATCACTGCTGACCAGAAAGCTCATTTGGTACTATGGATTTCCAGTCCCGAATCTGTACCTTCCTATTGTATTTTTTCAGCAAGCTTTTTTTAACCTAATATACTCATGATCAGTAAAGGTGGAATTACTGGTGAAGGGTATCACAAATTGAAACAAAATGAACTGCAGAGGACACTAAATATTTCACAGATACCATGTGGTAAATATGTTGTACAATTTTATTCCAAAATGGTATCAGTATTGTACATTTGTACCTGCTTGGCAACCAAGTTATAAGAAGCTAGCACTAACATTTTTCTCCTGTGTGTATGTTTGTCTTTTGGATAATAAATTTATTTCCATGATCTGTGTTGAATTGCAATCTTTGCTAAAATTACTAGTATACCGTTTGTACCCTCCATGCATAATGCATGTTGCTATTTTAAAACTACATGTATTCATGTTTTAAAATCATTTCATTCTGACTTTATTTCCAGACTGTGGTTCAGAATTCCCCTCGCATTGTGACGTCCATACTTGGAGAACTATCATGCATTGCTGTGGAAATGCATGCATCCATTTTCAAGGACTGTCAATTTTCTGGCACACTGGAATTAGGTAGTATAGACAACTTTTTATAAAAATGTTCATTACAGATAACATTCTTAATAAATAAGTACACAGATTAGTTTATTTGACTTTTTTTGTGACAGCTGATACTTGTAGACTAATACAATTATATCTGTTACTCGTTTTATATGGTGTAGCATTAGTAGCTAGTTGTGATTGGATGAAGAAGTGGGAATGACATGTGATGTGTATTTTGTTATTATAGAGTCCCCGGTGGAGGAGATGGAGTGGAGTCCAGATGGTTGTCTGCTGGTCGTCGGGGACATCCAGGGCAAAATCTTCGTGATTAACTCTGATACCATGGAGACTGTCTATTCAACTGTAAGTTATAACAAACATGATTAGGATCACAGGTTTCATAAAACCCAATTAAGTATAAAGTTTTGAGATACAGTACATTCCAGTCATCATGTCATTGTATGGCCCATTTTGCTCAATATCACCATTTATTGAGAACAAAAACCATGTTATATCCACTATCTATGAGATGTAGTTGTGTTAATACTCTGTGCTCAGAGGTGACTTTTCCTTTCATCATTTAATTTTGTTAATTCATAACATTTTTTGTGTTGTAGAGAGTGTGTCAACAGGGGCCCGGAGGAAATGCCTTCAGCAGAATTGCTTTCTACAGCAGAACTGATGGTATATCACTAACATGCAGTCAGACAATGGATTGATTTAAAACTGTTTTACTTTATGAAAACTTGACTTGAAATATATGAAACCATCTGATGTGTGATCTATAGGAGTATGTCAGAATTTTTTTTGTAACAAGGATCTTTATAACACACTGTTGATGCTTAAATATTTATTTCCTTTGTATCAGTTGATTGTGGATTAATGTTTATTCATGTGAAGGTCCTATCAATCTTTTCTCTGGTCTCTTGTCATTGATTTAGTGAGGTGCTATCAGGCCCTATGAGCCTCTTGTTACTTTTTACAGTTGAGTATGACCTGTTAATCCTGAGCAGCAATGGACAACTGATGGTTCTGTCCAAATTGACACCAGACATTTTCCTATCTGGTAAGTATCAAAGAATGACTGGTTCCTTTCATCCAGAAATACATGCATTGCCAGTGTTACCAACATCGCACTTCTAAATAGATCATTACATATCCAGCAGCATAACCGACAAATTCGGCAATATTAAATGGTGGTTGCAAAAGTATTGTTGATCTTGTGCATTTAACAAGTCATAGATTTATATAGATTTTTTCCAGAGTGTCAATTCAAATATCATCATTCATGTTTGGAGTTAAAACTTCTTTAAATTTTTTTATAAACCAAGCTTTTGTAGTGCCATACATTTCTGTTTTTATTTCACTTAATTGTACAGAAGACAAAGGCAAAACAGCTATGTCAGTTAAGGACAAGATGACGATTATCCAGACAGCAGAACAACACACGGAGGGAGTGACAGATGTCATCACCATCGGGGACACCATCATTACTATGGTATTCTGTAGTACATGTAATAGACCAGGGCCGATCAGGCAGTTTTACGCTGCTTGGGATATCTCTTCTGATACTTACATTTATCCAGGCCTTTTTACTCTGCTGGGCCAACTTTTAATAAAGAGATTGACCCTGTCCCTTTTTACACCTCTAGGCGCACCTCTTTTAAGAATAATGGAAATTTTCTCGGCTATTTTTACTACTGTAATCAATTTCCATCTATGGAACATGTTTTTTCTCCATTTTTGTGCAAATAAAATACGATCTGAAAGATATCTATATATTGCTTCTTAACAAAATAAAACATTGTTTGATATTGCAAGGTAATTTAAAGATTTATGGACTCTAAGATTCAGAAATTATTTCTCAAATATGAGTCATTTCTTTCCATGCACATTTGTTTAAAATTATATAACTTTGATATAGGGTTGTGGGAATCGCATCCTGGCTGTCTGGGAGTTTGATAATGGATGCCTTCAGCTGACTGACGAAGTCTGCAGTAACATGTTAAATGGTATGGTAAAACTGACATTTTAATATTATTTTTGAAAATATGTACCATTATTCTGTAACAGTGTTCCTTGCCACAATCAACAGACAATGTACATTGTAACAGTCCAAAGGTTGTCACATGAACAGTGTTCTCTATCACAATCAACTGTTTGTCACCATAAAAAATGTGCGTTACTATATTGTATAACAGTTGTAAAAGAACTGAAAGATAGATTTTATCATTTAGGTGCTGGAATTCTTCAAGGAAAAGTAACAACTGATGGAGTCCACCTCTTCCTACTTGACTGTAATGTAAGTTTAATTGTGGAGTAGTCAATTAAATATTCATGAAGCTTATACAGGACATAATTATAACAATCAGTTTGTTTTGTTAAATTTTAATCTTGAATAGAAAAAGCCAGTGAAAGCAACTGCATGTGTTTTCCCACTTCACAATTCAGTTAAGCAAGGGTCCTGTTACATGACTTCTTGTGTTTGAAATGAAAGTTGAAATATAAATGTTCATAAACTATTTACAAATTTGTAGCAAAAATAGTTTCTCTAGTCAGATTGTCATTGCTATTTCACATGTCACAAACTTATTTTGTTTCAAACTATTTAATGAAAGCCTAAAGTTGATTCAATATTTTACCAACAATTATATTAATACAAAGAATGAGATATATGAATTTTATGAGTCACAGAGTCTGGTTTTTATTATTTTTATTACTTTTCTGCCCTTTATCAATATGATCAATTGTTGACAATATTTGGTATTTGACCTGTACTTTCAGCACACCCTGAGTTTATGGAATCTACCCAACCTTACACTGTTAAAACAGTGGCGAGATCTAGATGTGGAACAGTTCCAGCTTCTGGAGACGAAGGATGTCAAGGACCAGAGGTCTGACAGCTACTCTACAGGCTATAGAACAATGTTTATTTGATGTTTATGGACCTTGTAGAGTTTATCTGTATCTACTTGTTGTCAGTTTCCTTTTGGCATTACAATACAAGGATGTTGACCACCTTGTTATACTGCCACCATTTGCCCAGACAAATTTTGACGTTATAAAGGGGTTTGGGGATAAATTGTGGGAAATGTATAAAGGAATTCTTATAAGAAAAAAAGAAAAAAAGGGACACTGAAATATGTTGACGGTAAACGAGGTGGCAAATGCAAAGAGGGTCATTATATCAAGGTTTTACTGTACCTGGTAAATTACATATGCATTAGAAAACTAAATACAATGGCTGCTTGGGTTGACTTATCTAGCAATACTAAGTCTTGTAGCATTTGAAAAATAAACATATATAGATCAGACAGTTTCAGGAAATATTATTACCCTGTTGTTCAGAATTGATGTTAGAAACAAACTTTAGTTTTGTTTCAGAATATCTTTCTTCATGTCATTCTTTTTCTGTTAATTGTGCAGCTTTGAAGGTATGAAGCTTGTGATTCTCACCATGACTAAGGACTGGAGAAGTACTTTAATCATCCAGAACCTGCCAGACTGTCAAAACATCTACACTCTACAACTCAATGCCCCATCTGTCATCTCCAAGTGTCTCACTATTCAGGTAACATCTTCACCCTACATACAGCTCATTGTTCCCTCAGTCATATCCAAGTGTCTCACTATTCAGGTAACATCTTCACCCTACATACAGCTCATTGTTCCCTCTGTCATCTCCACGTGTCTCACTATTCAGGTAACATCTTCAGCCTACATACAGCTCATTGTTCCCTCTTATCATCTCCAAGTGTATCACTATTCAGGTAACATCTTCACCCTGCATACAGCTCATTGTTCCCTCAGTCATATCCAAGTGTCTCACGATTCAGGTAACATCTTCACCCTACATCCAGCTCATTGTTCCCTCTGTCATCTCCAAGTGTCTTACCATACAGGTACCATCTTCCCCCTACATACAGCTCATTGTTCCCTCTTATCATCTCCAAGTGTCTTACCATACAGGTGAAATCTAAACCCTACAACTTGGTATCCCAAATCACATTCTATCTGCCCGTTCATGTGTAATTTTGAAGTGTTTATATAAATTCTGAATTGAAAGTCTTCGTGGTCTTTTGAGCTCTTACATTGTAGGCAGTAATGGTTGACAATTTGACTTTCATCACCTGTCTTGGTCAAGGCTGTTTTTAGATAAGCCATGGTGTCTTGTTTACAGTACTATCCATGCTAGTTTAGTGGAAATTTCCCATAAAATTGAGTTAATTGTCAAAAAATATCTTGTCAATGTCATGTTCCAAGTTTTACTAATCAAGCATTTCTGTTAAAATTCAGGGCTATTCTAGAAATAAATATTGAGTGGGATTTTTTGTAAACCCCTACCACCAATCTTTTTTTTCATTCTTGAGGACTAGATTAATACAAATGTTAGAAAAACAACTAAATTAAGCCCCAAACTCCATATGATATCAATCGTATTTGTATATCTTGAATAGCCGTTATTACTGAATGCACATCACTGTAGTTCTATACCGCTGCTCTCTTATAGGAAACCTTGTATGTTGCGGAGTGTTGTGGTGAGCCAAGGTAAATAACTCTAATCACTGGGTAAAATAGTTTTGTCTCTTCACACTGAATCACAGCTCTGAATTAATACATATGCATTTCTTGAAAATATCACCTTCATCTTCAATTTTTGCCTGTGAAAATTTTGATTTCAGAAAAGAAATATATCTACTGAATAAACCCTGATGAGTGTTGGGTAACTTTTTAACCCAGAAATATCCTCATTTGTAGATTCTAATTGTTTACAAATGTTGCGAAATAATGAAAAATATTGCTTTTTATACGGGATTTTTCTGTGAAATTGCACAGCAAAATTAACAATGACAAAAACTAAATACCTTGATTATGACTCATTTGGAAAAGACAGAGTTGACATAAGCTTATTTCTGATTTAGCTCTCCAGAATCTGTGTCAACAGTAAGGTTCCGATGTCTAACAGAGACAAACCCTCAGACAAGGTAAGATTTCTGTTTCACTATTCATTAACAAATCATTAATCACACATTAAAATAAAGTGTTGAATCTGTAATTAAACGGCCTTGGACATATGACACCCAGAAAACTGTCAATTAAATAACCCAGAAACAGTGTTCAATTTGAAATTAGTTTCTAGTTTCTGTAACAGAAACTTTAATAACAAAAGGTCATTTACACATGCTTTAGACTCCTTTTTTTGTGAACTGACAAATATACAAAAAAATGTTCACATACTGGCATTCCTCTGCTATTACAGGTTGTATCGTATATTACACAAGAATCAGTTTGAAGAGGCTGAGCAATTTGCCAAGATATTCGGACTCAATACTGAGGTAAAAGTCCCCAAGCATATTTATAACATATTTATATGTATATTTTTACAACACTGTATGTCATGTACCACACACATGACCATGGTTAACCCTTTCACCCCTAGGTAACTTTAGTAGACTATACCATACATTGATCTTGATGAGTCCATTATGGTCTACAGTGGTGAAAGGGTTAAGATCACAGCAAGGGATTGAAAAGTCAAACTATTGCAATGCTTGTCCAGACGACCTACTATACCACTGAATAGTATTTGGTAACACTGCAGAAATGTGTATTATATATATTTTTCACATATATAATGTTGTATATTATATGACTAGATGTTGTGTCACTTACCATTGAAGTCTTTTTTCTCTCAAGGTCAAGGTCACAATAAGGATTAGGATCAAACTTCAATCTTCAGACAGTAACCTCTGGACTATTAACTATTATTATATATGTGTATTGTGATTACATGTGTCGCACACTGCACATAGGTCTATATATAAGGTTATAGACACCGCAAATGGTCAACAGTGAAATAATTGTGTTGCTTTTTTCATGGGACTTCATTGACATGTACATTACAACCAGATGGTGTCCCATGCAACTCACAGGTGCACAACTTTTAAGTCGAAGTTAATTGCAATAGGTCAGAGTTCATATTACTACATTGCTTGCCTGAACTGTAACTTGTGAATCTTAGAACACTTTGAACCTTTGTGTTTTACGACATGAACATATGTGGATTTATCAGGCCTCTGTTTATGTCTGTTTAACAGACCAATTACCAGTTTATGAAAATATAGATTCCTTTTTTTTTCTGTCATTTTCTAGGGTTTATAAAATTAAATAAAGCAATGTAGGAGCATTTATAAACAGATGAAACAATTAAAAATCAGTTTCTTTTTACAATTTATCAAAATTTAATGTTTAACCTGTAACTATGATGATGACAGATTGTGCAAAAGAAGAAGTTGGAACACTTGCTGGAACAGCTGTCACCATGGAATGTGATGAAGTATGGGGAAGACAAGATTACAGAGATGATAGCACAGCTTTGGATATGTATGGACCTTATCCATGTAAATATGTTTGTTGGTGTCATCAATCTACAATTATATATTTTCTCATTTAAATGAATGGGCACAGTTGGTTAGGACTTGAAAATTATTTCCTTTTTATCTTCTTGTTCAAATCATTACTGTAAAAAAATACTGCTTTAATTATGTTTTCAGTGGTCAGTTATTTCAATAGAAGCACAGTCAAGGTTTGACTATTATAAATAAGTTAATAACCCACACCAAATGGTAATTCTTTTAGCATTTTTATTTCCCAATAAATGATTTATTTTACCCCTGCTTCGACGAAGTTGGGGGGTATATAATGTTTGCTTCGTCTATCCGTCCGAAAGGTTTCCGGAGCATATCTCCCGTACTATTTCACCTACGGTTATGAATCTTGGTTTGTGGGTACATGCATAGAAGACTGTGTGTCACGTACCATATGTGGGTCACTGTGACCTCTACCATGACCTCTGACCTACATAATGTCGTCAGAAAGGTTTCTGGAGCATATCTCCCAAACTATTTCACCTACGGTTATGAATCTTAGTATGTGGGTACATGCATGGAAGGTGGTGTGTTGTGTACCATATGTAGGTCACTGTGACCTCTACCATGACCTCTGACCTACATAATGTCGTCAGAAAGGTTTCCGGAGCATATCTCCCAAATTATTTCACCTACGGTTATGAATCTTGGTACATGTATGTGGGTACATGTATGAAAGGCGATGTGTCGTGTACCATATGTAGGTCACTGTGACCTCTGACCTACGTAACTTGAGACTCCAATCCACATGCCCATCACTCCCACCAGTTCTTAATCAAAGTGGGGGTATTCACGAAGGCCCCAATTCGAGTTACATCTAGTTTAGTCTACAATTTTAGGGGCTTTCAAATCTTTTAACAAGATTCTCACAAAACATTTTATCATTTTTCCAGGATGACCCTCATGTGTGTGAACTGGCTATGAGGTCTACCTTGCCACAAATGGACACCACTAGAAATTTGTTGTCTTACTGCAGGAAAAGGGTAACTAACTGGTTTTCTCTCTGTTGCCAAAGAAATAAATTCTTTGGTACATATTGCTCTTTAGTGACTAAATGTACATTGTCTGACACATATCATTGTGATGTGATGATAATATAAAATATCAGTAGAAAAACTCCATTTGACAAGATACATCATTGATGTATTATTTACATTAAACATTTAAATTGATTGTTCTGATCTATCAAAACTTAAAACAACCTTTAAATGCTATGAGTTGTAAATTTATACTTTCAGCTTGAAAAGTATGCTAAATCCAAAATTGATGAGAGTGACAAAAAAAATCAACAGAAACTTATGAGCAAGGTATGTAATACATTCTACCACTTCTTGAAAGATTTCAAGAATCTTGTCAATGTTTTTGTTAGAATTCATGTTAAATTGTGTGAAATGAGAGCTGAAACTTTATTAATCATAAATTTTTAACATACAAAGTTATTTACGAATACTATGTAACATGAATTGCTGAAACCTGAACTATTTTCATTTACTTTTGAAACCTGCTACTACAATATATATTGGTTGGAGACCTCCTGAAATTTATTACCCATTTCATTAGAACAAAGTTATGTATAGAAGACATTTTGTTTGCTGATAAAAAGTCTCCATGTTTAAATTTGTCCTGTTTCAGTTGGTGGATATCCAGAACAGATTGATTACATTTGGTGTAGCCTTTGGAGAGGAAAAGTACAGGTTGGTTCTGAAATTTCTACTTTTTGTAAACAAAATGTGAAAGGAAAAGGAAATATCTTAGCTGTTGAAGGTACCTTAGAGTTTTTGTTATAGTTGATACCAGGAATGAAAGTATGCATTAAGTCTTTGTGTTGGTTACTAAAGCACTGGATGTTTGGATACTGACCCACAAATTATTGAAAATGCTGAGGCTTAAATTTAAAAAAAAATGAAACATTTGCCATAAACCAACTGACTGGATTTATTTTTAAAGTGACTTGATTGTGTACTTTTGGATAGAAAAAACTAATCTGTTACCAGAAAACTTAAGTCGTTATAAAACTAGATCAGTGGTGTCAAGATTAATAAGACTGTTTAAATGTGTCCTATATACGTTATGTGTGTAATTGACAGTACAGAGTTGCATGTTGTACTTAACAGTGGAGAAAAGTGGGAGGTTTTCCTGAAGGCAAACCTACTACAACAGGCCATCATGCTGTTTGAACAGAGAAATCTGTTGGCTGGACTGGTTATATGGATTAGACATGAGGTATGTAATAAAACTGGGATTAATATCAGATGATTTGTAGTAAATAAGTTTAACAAGGACAAGTCATATTTTGAAAGAAGCAAAAAAGGAAAGAAAAACATTTTAAATATTTATTGATTTTAAATATTCAATATGAAAAATCACAATCTTTGCAATTTGTGTAATTTTCTCAGATGTATCTTTGCTAATATGTCTGTCTCTTTATCCATCAGGCTGAATGGCAATCTAATCTGACGACATCACTGACCAGCAAAGTGTTGTCATGGTTACCAGAACAAGTAACAGCCAAGGAGGTACTGGGTCTGATGAGAGATACACTCATCCCGTCTATATCCAGGTTACATCCAGACTCATTGGTAAGTTTGTGAGAGATAAATTTTGACTCATTGGTACAAAGTCATTTGTGAGGGATACATTCAGAGCATAAGTAAATTATATGTGACATTCACCCATCTCATCTATATACAAATTACATACAAACTCATAGGTAGGTTGTTGATTATACTAGACCTTAAATACCCTGACTACAAAGTCCTAGTCTCAGCGCAGAATTTTTCAAATTAATGTATTGTGAATTGAAAATTAAATATTTGGTGAAATTCATCTAAAACATTTTCATGATCAGGATATTGTATGAAAAACAGATTACTTTGGTGTTGATTAGCAAGAAAAATATTGTATTCAGCTTTATCATACCGAAAACTGTTTTTATATCCTTAAATTTCATGGGCATTATATTTTTATCTTATGGACAATAAAGAACCAACAGTGTGCTAACTTTCCATTATCGTTTTCACAGGCACTTCTGATCCATTGGATTATACAGAAGGCAAAGAACATGGAACTACAGGAGAAGGTAGTAACAGAATAAAACCACGTTAGATAATGTAACACTAATACATTGTGTTAATGTATTATTTCATCAGTGGTATGATGTAATGTGTTACTGTATCGGTGGTATGGTGTAATGTGTTTCTGTATCGGTGGTATGGTGTAATGTCTTACTGTATCGGTGGTATGGTATAATGTGTTACCGTATCAGTGGTATGGTGTAATGTGTGACTGTATCGGTGGTATGGTGTAATGTCTTACTGTATCGGTGGTATGGTATAATGTGTTACTGTATCGGTGGTATTGTGTAATGTGTTACTGTATCAGTGGCATGGTGTGTTCTGTTACTGTATCAGTGGCATGGAGTAATCTGTTACTGTATCAGTGGTATGGTGTGATGTGTTACTGTATCAGTGGTATGGTTGAATGTGTTACTGTATCGGTGGTATGGTATACTGTGTTACTGTATCAGTGGTATGGTATAATGTGTTGCTGTATCGTTGTTATGGTGTAATGTGTTACTGTATCGATGGTATGGTGTAATGTGTTACTGTAACGGTGGTATAGTGTAATGTGTTACTGAATCAGTGGTATGGTGTAATGTGTTAGTGTATTGGTGGTATGGTGCAATGTGTTACTGTATCAGTGGTATGGTTGAATGTGTTACTGTATCGGTGGTATGGGGTAATGTGTTACTGTATTAGTGGTATGGTGTGATGTGTTTCTGTATCAGTGGTATGGTGTAATGTGTGACTGTATCGGTGGTATGGTGTAATGTCTTACTGTATCGGTGGTATGGTATAATGTGTTGCTCTATCGGTGTTATGGTGTAATGTGTTACTGTATCGGTGGGATGGTGTAATGTGTTACTGTATCAGTTGTATGGTGTAATGTGTTACTGTATCGGGGGTATGGTATAATGTGTTGCTGTATCGGTGTTATGGTGTTATGTGTTACTGTATCGGTGGTATGGTATAATGTGTTACTGTATCAGTGGGATGGTGTAATGTGTTACTGTATCAGGGGGATGGGGTAATGTGTTACTGTATCGGGGGTATGGTATAATGTGTTGCTGTATCGGTGTTATGGTGTTATGTGTTACTGTATCGGTGGTATGGGGTAATGTGTTACTGTATCGGGGGTATGGTATAATGTGTTGCTGTATCGGTGTTATTGTGTAATGTGTTACTGTATCGGTGGGATGGTGTAATTTGTTACTGTATCGGTGGTATGGTGTACTGTGTTACTGTATCGGTGGTATGGTATACTGTGTTACTGTATCAGTGGTATGGTCTAATGTATTACTGTATCAGTGGTATGGTGTAACGTGTTACTGTATCGGTGGTATAGTGCAATGGGTTACTGGATCAGTGGTATGGTGTAATGTGTTAATGTATCGGTGGTATGGTGTAATGTGTTAATGTATCGGTGGTATGGTGTAATGTGTGACTGTATCAGTGGTATGGTGTAATGTGATACTGTATCGGTGGTATAGTGTAATGTGTTACTGAATCAGTGGTATGGTGTACTGTGTTACTGTATCGGTGGTATGGTATACTGTGTTACTGTATCAGTGGTATGGTGTGATGTGTTACTGTATCGTTGGTATGGTGTAATGTGTTACTGTATCAGTGGTACGGTGTAATGTGTTACTGTATCAGTGCTATGGTGTAATGTGTTACTGTATCGATGGTATGGTGTAATGTGTTACTGTAACGGTGGTATAGTGTAATGTGTTACTGAATCAGTGGTATGGTGTAATGTGTTAGTGTATTGGTGGTATGGTGCAATGTGTTACTGTATCAGTGGTATGGTCTAATGTATTACTGTATCAATTGTATAGTGTAATGTGTTACTGTATCCGTGGTATGGTGTAATGTGTTACTTTATCGGTGGTATGGTGTAATGTGTTAATGCATTGGTGGTATGGTGTAATGTGTTGCTGTATCAGTGGTATGGTGTAATGCGCTACTGTATCGGTGGGATGGTGTAATTTGTTACTGTATCGGTGGTAAGCTATAATGGGTTATTGTATCCGTGGTATGGTGTAATGTGTTACTGTATCAGTGGTATGTATAGTACTACTGTACTGTATTGAGCTGTTAATGATATACTTTCTCTGTTTTCAGGCTGCCTGGCCTATGAATGCCATCACTTTTCTCAAGTCCATCCATAAAAGCTTATGCCGAGTAACAAAAATTAGCCACTCGGACTTTCTGTGTACAGCTTCTGACATGGCCTACAGGGTAAGGCAACAAGTTAATGCGATAGTTTGATGATGAAGACGCTCTTACTTCATAACATTCATAACAAAATATTCTACTTACCTACAAAATGACAAAGATTTATATGATAATTAAATTGCGCTGGTCACAGGTTTGTTATGAAGTGTACTTAATGTGCTACAATTTGAGATAATGACAACCTTTGTTTTGTTGCAGACCAGCCTCGACCCAGCAACTATCACCGAGCCTATACATGTCCTCATTAATAACCTGAAACACCTGCATGACCTTCACACCAAGTACAGGTGTAAACTCACCTATGGCCAGTTTATACAGGTATGTATCATCAGATACAGATATAAACTATCAGTTATACAGGTATGTATCATCAGATACAGATATAAACTATCAGTTATACAGGTATGTATCATCAGATACAGATATAAACTATCAGTTATACAGGTATGTATCATCAGATACAGATATAAACTATCAGTTATACAGGTATGTATCATCAGATACAGATATAAACTATCAGTTATACAGGTATGTATCATCAGATACAGATATAAACTATCAGTTATACAGGTATGTATCGTCAGGGACAGGTATAAACTCGCCTACAAACAATTTGTTCAGGTATGTTTCATCAGGTAAAGGTTTAAACCTACAAATAGTTTGTACAGGTCAAAAACTCATTGCTAAAGGCTTTAAGTTGTTTTATCCTTCAGTGGAACGGTTGGTACTTCCCCTACATAAATTCTTTTATTTCTTTTATTTATGCTCCCGCCTATTTATGGGGGGGGGTGCATATAGTGTTACACTCGTCTGTCCTTCCCGATTCCATGACACTAATGATGTCATCTCCATTTTTTAAGAGCTTTTTATCAAAGTCTATACAAAGTCAACTATGACAATACTTCTTTAAGATGTATAAGGCCCCAAATGCACTTTCTCTATAGAAAAATGTAAAATGTGTGACCTCTGACTTTTAACGTTGTTTGTAATAGGGACCTGCCACTGATTGTGGGAAAGTGACTTTTTGGCTTACTGGTAGGACTGACCAGTTACTCCCCTTTACCTCAAACAATGCTTCACCTTGACATTTTAGGAAACAACAGAAAGCGTTACATTCCGGATGCTGGATGAAGTGGTAGCGGTGGAGTTGATGGACCAGACATTGGACACATACATCCGACCCTACATGAGGGAGCATGGGCTGAAAGAAGACAACATATTCTCCCAGTACATCAAGGTGGGTCAACTAAATATCTTCTGTGTCCACCAGATATCTCCTTCGCATACAGTATTATAAAGGTTGTCCTACTCAGTTATTTGAATATCTCTTGACACAGAATGTTTAATTCAAGCTCAATGTCAATTTTACTTTTAATAGAAAATCTTAATCAGCCCACAACTATAAAAATAATGCTATATTTTCTCAATTCATAAAGGAACGGGCTGTTGTAAAATTCTGGTAAAAACACTGGCTTGAGCACACAAATACCTCAACTGAGTTTGTGTTCCTGGATGCTAGACCCAAAGTTGACCAACGAAAAGGAGCATGGCTGGAAGAAGCACTAATTTCTCACATCCATTGTCCAGTTTATTATTGAATGAACACTTTTGTTCAATATCAGTTTGTTGAATTGGTGTTGTGATACTTGTTCATATTGTGACTTGATTTTAGGATCTACTTGAGCGGGTTGGGGCAGTTACTACATACCGCAGTGAAACTCCATGGGAGGCCAAAGTTATCGCTGTCACCCATCGTATATCAGGACCAGAGGTATTCTAACGTGTAAATCTAGTCAACAATCAGGTATTATTAACCCACATTGGCATTCCTTCACATAGTAAGGTTAAACATATTACAGATTGAATAAATATGTTACCAAGAAAATCATAGAAGTTTACTGCACAATTTGAAATTTGCTACAGTTTTACCAGTGTTAGTGAAAGTTGTGATTTGCATAAATATGACAGTCTTTGAAAAATCAAAATCACTAGACAGAGATACAAAGCTCCTGACACCTGATTGTCATTGGTAAAACAAGAGAGAATATTGTCATTCTAAGATATTTCCCTTTGATGTGCTTAAACACAATGATCATTTGTTGTAGGAGAAATGTTATGCTATCACAGAGGCGATGAAGTGGGCACCCATCCCATGGAGTAAGGAGATTGACAAACTCGTCAAAGCTGGACTTGAGCTTAACCACCCGAAGTAGGTTTAGTCATCTACCTTCAGATTTGTTTCTCCATCTGAAAGGATTTTGGAGGTACTGTAGCATTCACATGGGATATCTTATTGTTAGTCAGTTTGTTTACATTTCTTCCGGATGCTTATTCAAGAACAAATGACCACACCAAGCTCAAATTTGGTATGTTGAATGCCCTATGGAAGAGGAAGAATCTAATAATTTGGGGTATGCCTGGTTATAGGTCAAGGTCATTGCTGTTGAAAATAGAATTGTCACTGATAGATCAATAACAAATGTTTCTCAGGGTGGTATCATTTTTTTTGGAGGGGGGGGGGCGGTTTCTAACACTAAGTTTAGAGAATGAAATTTAAAATTCATAGTAAGAAACAATTACTTAAATAAAGATAGATACTACAATATTTATGTGCACAGTAAATATTGTTGCACCTACCTTATTAATCAGATAGAATGTATTTTATTTCTGTTCTTACTGCAGTGTTCAGTGATAGAATGTATTTTATTTCTGTTCTTACTGCGGTGTTCAGTGAGGCTGATTATATCGGTAGAGTCAGAATTCTCTGTTCTTACATTTGTTTACTTGTTTTACATGACAGAGTGGTTCAACTCCAGAAGCAATGTCACATTGTGGAGGTGAAGAAGTTGATGCTTAAGTATGGTCTCAAGAATATGGCTGTACCTGACCGCAGCAATGCTGACGTAAGTTTCTGACAGTCAATGACCTATAGTTTTGGTAGACTTGACCAGTCGTTGGTAATTATGTGAGAGAATTGCTCATACCCCTCAGATTAACCTGTTGTGTTCTCTTTATACAGCTGTCTGTACATAGAATGTTGTCTGGAAAACTTGATTTAGCACCATTTTGTGATTAATAGAGACAGTCATATGTAGGTATGTTGGGGAATAAGGCAGTTCTACAAAGAGGGTATAAAATCTTGAGTCAGAAGAGGTTTTTGAGGATATCTCACCCCAAAAAATATAACCTAGATATCAGGAAACTGCAGAATATTATTGATATTGAGTAATGATATGAATTTGAGATTTTATATACAAAAAACAGTATAATGATATACTTTCTACTTTAATCTCTTTTTTGTAATGGATGTCTTCTGATTTTGAAATGTGGCTTAAAATTTATATCAGACATCCCCGTTTTACATAGGTAACTTGCACCTGCAGGGGTGAAACTAAGATTTTCATATTGTTTAACAGAAGCTTCTGTATCTGATGTTAAGTGACATTAAGACAAAACCGTGGTCACAGATTTTGTTGGCCTGTTTTACAGAATCTTCGTATCTGATGTTAAGTGACATTAAGACAAAACCGTGGTCACAGAGTTTGTTGGCCTGTTTTACAGAATCTTTGTATCTGATGTTAAGTGACATTAAGACAAAACCGTGGTCACAGAGTTTGTCGGCCTGTTTTACAGAATGTATTTAATGCTGAGTGATGGTAGATTGTGTCTTTCTATCTAACAGAAACTTCTGTATCTGATGCTGGGCCACAACAGTGAGGGATGTATGGAGGACGCTCTGTGTGTAATGGAGTCTTACAACATCAAGATGGAGAAAGATCTTTATATCTTTAGGCTCAGAATCCTTGTCACCAAAGACAAGGTAAATAAACATATGCATAAAAGTCTGGCACATGCAATTCAACATTGTCGTGAACCTTCTATGATGTGATTGATATTAAAATGAAGTGAAAGGATTTTTGTAAAGATAACTGGAATTATATGAAATGTTTCTCAGTACCATTATATGAATACATTGTGTATAATATATAAGTAAAGCATGCTTCTAGGATTGCATTAGTAATGAATGACAATAGAGTGATTCAGAAACCAGCCCTTAGCCATAATGGTTTTTCTGTCTGATATGTAGGTGGAGGAGGCTGTAGGCTTGCTTAAGTCTCTGTCTATGGACATGGCCTACACCTGTGGCCTACGGATCCTCAACCTAGTCAAGGTGGTCCTTAACGACATGCTTGTCATTGACCAACAGGTAAAAACCACCATATGCATATGCCTACTAAATTAACTACACATCAGGTCCTTCACGACATGCTTGGTAACCCATGTGATCCTCAATGCCATGTAGTCTTTAATGCCCCCGGTACATGTAACATGAAGTTCTCATTGACCATCAGAGCTCTGTTTTCCATTTTCTATTTGTTGACAATTGATTTTCACGTAATAATATTAAATAAAATTAATAACACGAAATTTAATAGTTATTTTTAAGAAAATGCAGTGTTCTTTGTTAGATTTACAGAAATGTCCTTTATTTTTCAGGGAAATGAAAAAATGAAACGACTCTTTACAGAAGCAGGAATGTACATAGCCAGACATTTACTTACCTTCACAAATGGTGGGTATCAGGGGAAGGGTTCTTTTAGGATAATAGTTAAAAAAAAATGAAGATTATATATGAAAATGTGGAAAGTTATCGACAGAAATTATATGAATTTTAGATTTTATTTACGAATACTTCAAAACTCATATCTCAATCTGTGGAATAAAGGGTTAGCATGCGGTCCTTCTGTTTTAGTAGTTACCATAGAAATCCTGTTTCAAAGATGTGACTCAAAAGTTACAAATGTGTTATAATGAATGTATAAATTATGTATTGTTCATCAATATTCTCAAGACATATCAAACAACAGGGGACATGTCTTGAAGTTATTGCCATATAACCTATATCAGGAAACTGCAGAATAACTTGTTAGGCAAATTAGATTTACCTGGGTATATAAATACTGATTTCTGAATGACGACTTTTCTTTTCTCCAAAGATTACTTGGAAGCCAAGGAACTGAAGGGTCTCCTAGCTAACCTGCAGTGTCTGAGGGCCTTACAGGTAAGTAGTATATAGTGCCACTTGTTGAGTAAGTCATACAGTTTGGAAGGGGATTTAATTTTAATTTTAAAAAGGAGTAGAACTGCCAGTTAAATCTGAACCACTCCTATATCTGTAATTCAATTGCTATCCACATTATTACTCATTTTGAAATATTGTTCACTATACTGCAGGAGATAAATCAATATTCCCATAAATCAAAGGTCTGAGATTCTGGATCAAAGATCAGAAGAGATTCCACAATTAAGATTGGAGGAGATGTTATTGTAGATACATTCTTTTGTCCATTCAGTTTTGATTGTGCACAATAAATTTTCTTTCTTTGGCTAAATAAATTCAAACTTCATGAAGGGCCTCCTTGACAAAATCACCTGCCTGGGATTGCTTTTCTGTTATGTGTATTTGTTTCATTTAGAATATAAATAATCTTTCGACAAGTGTTTTGAATAGTTCATGTTTGCATAGATCAAACTTCTTTTCGAAATACAGAAAATTATAAATAAAAACAATCCAAAACAGTACCAATCATTGAAAGTTTACAGTTATAATACGTTTCTACTTCATTGTGTAATGTATAAGGGGACCCTTTGTGTTAAGACAGTCACAGACTACAGTGCTGTATATTGTTTTTTTGCAGGTTGAGTTTGGAAAGCATCTGACACTTGCAGAATTTGAGGATGAGGCTTTCAGGAATTCAACCCTTGTTGTCCATGTAACAGAGTTCTACCTACAGCGATCACAGGACGTTAGTATACTTTACAGAACAGAACCTCTGGTGTATGAACCATTTCTATACCATTACTGCCCTACCACTACAACAAGGGATTCTGTTTTTATCCCACAATTAGAATTTTGAGGAGGTATATTAATATTAAACTTATATCTGTATGTGTGGACTGCCCTTTATCTGAGCACTTTTCAGGACACGGCTCTAAAACCATCTCAATGTATCGGTGCGAAAGTTATCATTTTTGATAGTTTAAAACAAATAGAACAAATAGGAAATACTAAATTTGATTATGTGTATAGGTCATGTCTGCAAAAGCATTAAAGATAACTGCAGAATTTCGTACATGTATTAAGTTAACACTCTAGTAGTGCTTTTTGATATGAGGTCTCGCAACATTCTCCTGAAGTTGCACTCATAACATGAGTTGAAATATATTAAAAGGTAAATTGATGACTGTAATGAATTACCTTGCTTTACAGGAAAGTGGAAGCAACTTTGCCAAAATCTACAGGTAAAACGTTTTTTTCAAATTTTCATAAATCATATAGATAAAAGTTTAAATTAAACCTTGGTATTGATATCAAAGTTAGATCACAAAACTCACTTTTCCTACGCTCGGAGCATATATGACATTATATAAGAATATGTATTAGATTTGTATATTTGTTTTGTAGACTAGCGGACATTCTTCGTATACCTAAGATACGATTACAGGGAGAGTTAGCCATAGAGGCAGCAAGGACTGGGGAGGTGCAGGCTGCTCTCAAAATGTGCAGGTAATCACAAGTCTAAAAACATGTAATGAAGTTCTCTTTGAAACATTGTATTTGCTTTTATTAGCTAGTTTTTTCCCCCAGAACATTCATAATTCAGATGTCAAAGATGTGTATTGCACAAGAACTCTTTTTTTATATATTATTTAAGAAATTTTGTTATATGGTGACATCAATTCTGATAGAACTTAAGTGTATCACTTGTATTAAGAATATGAATGTCTTCTACATGTAATATTTTGTGGATTATGAGGAGAGGTATATGTGACAATGTGTAATTCTTTATTAGGGCCCCGTATCGGAGATACGGGTGCCCTATAGTAATCACTCTGTCTGTCTGTCTGTCTGTCTGTCCGTCCACAAATTTTGTTCCTGGCTGATAACTTTGGTATTTATTGACCGATGTACATGAAACTTGGTCAAGATGTTCAGTTCACAAAAATACACATTGAGGTAAAAAGTCAAGGTCAAAGGTCAAGGTCATTAGGTTTAAAGGTCAATGTCAAATTTTACATCTTTTCACTGATAAACATTTTGTTATGACATTATGAAGCAAAGTTGGTCAGAATTAAACAAGGAGTCAACTTACCAAAGGTCAAGGTCATGGGTCAGGGGTTGAGGTCAAATTTTGTAGCTTTTCACTGGTGAACATTTCACTATGACATTATGAAGCAAAGTTGGTCAGAATTAAAGAATAAGTCAACTGCCTAAAAATCAGGGTCACTGGGTTAATGGTCAACGTCATTTGGGTCCAAAGGTCAAAGACAAAGTGGATCTCTGCCTTTGACCCTGACTCTTGATGTAGGAGGTATTAAAGGTGAAATAAAACAAAACAAAGCTAACAAATGAGTATATCGCACCGGTATTTACATTTCAGTTAGCCCAGCAAATATGGAGGTGGAAGGAGACAAGACTCACATCATAGTACATGTAAAATGTATATTTTGCCTCCTTGCAATATTTTTTGAAGTCCAAATGTCAAACGTCAATCTCAGCTATATGGGCAGATTGCTTCTTGATGATTATGGGGGATATATTGCCACAAGACGGGGCCCTTACTGACCTGTCAGTGTTCTAGTTCCAGGCAACTGTTATTGTAATTCTTTATTCCAGGCAACTGTTTGTGTAATTCTATATTCCAGGGAACTGTTCGAGTCTGACCCATCGGTCGAGACAGCGGACATGTTGTACAAAGTAGCCATGGCCTTTGTCCATCTACAGGCCAATGCAGAGAACAACAATGTGAGCGTCAGTCGTCTACGGGATCTGCCCAACATCACCTACAGACTGGCCTGTCAGTCTGCCTCTGTCTGCTCACCAGGTATGGTTTATAGGGAAGGGATGCTAGAGATCTAATAACTACCCAAGTATCTGATCTCACCTAAATGTCTATAATCTATAATCTAAGAAAATGTTCGTTTATATGAAATATGTTTTAGTTGTGTTTTTGTCAAAACCTTTATCCTGTCAAAGATATAGAACATCAAACATCAGTATTGGTTACAGTTTAATTATATAGTGACTTTAATTTTGTTAGTTGTCATATATATGTAGCGGAACTAGACTTGGTTGATCTTCGAAGACCAGGTAGCTCAATTGGTAGAGCGTCTGTCTAGAATTTGGAGGATCCGGGTTCAAACCCTGATATGGCCATGCATTTTTTCCGCTCCTACTACATATACATATACACTTAACACTCGGTCACTGGTGTTAAGAACTCATTAAGATGTAGTAACACAATAAAACAATGTGATACAGATTTTACTGTTATTCTATTCCTTCCTCAGACCAACTTGTACAGTGTTTGGAGCTGTGTACAGCTGCCGAGTTGAGTCTGTCAGTAAACAACCAGTGTGAGGCTGGGGAACACAGCATGGGGTTAGAGGTCAGTTCTTCTGCTATCAAGTAGTGTTTGAAATGTAAAGGTCAATTAATTATATAACTAATTATTAGTTTTGTAACTTACGCTACAGAAATATTTTCCTATAAGGACTAGGTTTCCATAACTGCTATAGGATTTGTTATTCCTATCCCATGGTTTTATTTTTGGATAATTTCAAAAATAGAAAACATCATACGGCATGATGTCACAAAACTGAACAAATGTACATTGCATTACGTCTTATGTCATCACTTTATACATCAAATTTTCCCCTGATTGCCTATCCTCAATGACTTAAAATACTCTGCACTAGGTACAGTGAATAGTTAGCTTATAAAACCTGTATGGGTTTATTATTGAATAAACCGGCAATCCACCTTATGAGAATTGATAATGGTTTATATAAAATCTTATCAGTTTATTCCCAAGTACTGGTATAACCTTTTTGCTGAAGTTAAATTGATATTCCTGTATAACCTAATTTTATTGCCTGCAAATCCTATTCATCACTCGCTTGATAGCCTAAGGACAAGGAAGAATGAACTTGTAGCAGTTAAATACATCAATCTAAGGCATATGAAAAAGTGTATTAATTAGAATTTCATATTTACATATCACTCCCTTTATTTTCACTTTCCAAAGTCAAATAATAAGTACCAAGGGTATTTTAGGTTCTGTTAAAAATAATGAGTTATAAAAACCAGTGGAATTGTTCAATTGGTGAATAGATTTTTGTGTAACCTTTTAACCATAGGAATGGTACCCAGATATGCAGTCACCAGGTGACCAACTGACTGATGACAAGTTTGACACAACATTTAAGGAGGATGCCTTAGTGATGAATTCCAGTGTTATTATGCCTTTGGTCAGCCAGTACCAGCTGACCGCTAGTGTCTTGGCCAGACAAGGTAATTCACTCAGAAAGCCTTTGTAACTAACTAGAGTAGATATCCGGAGACTTTATTACATTAATTTATGTGCTTGAAATCTTCTCAATGAGAGGTTCTTTACAGAGCATGAACGTGTAGAAGTGATAGTAAACCCTCAGATATTTTCATACATTTATACAGTACTTTCCCCTTAATATCACGTCACTTAAATCTCTTTTCCGTTTGTACAATGTTGTCTTGAAGCACTGTTTTTCCTGCTATATAATCTATGTAATTCAATTCTGTTACTATCACTTGTTTTGAAGTGGATTTCGCTTAATATCACTTTATTTTGGCCACTTTACAAAAAAGTGATTCATGTGATCAGACTTTTTTATGGTTTTATGGATATGCAATGTTTACTGTCGTGTAAAACTTGCAAATTTAGTGTATTTACTGTAGATTACTTCTATTTCCTGTGAAATCCATGTTGCCCCTAAAGCATTTGTCACGAATTGAAATATTATTGAAAACAACTAGTTTGGATAGGAATGTCAGTTTGCAAAATCATTTGTAAAAAACATTTTAAACATACTTATTTAAGCACACTCAAATTTTATCACATTTTCAAATTTTAACAGATTAGCTTTAACAAATTAGGGCTATCATTATAGCATGTGATACTTGATGTCTGAAAAGTGCCACAATCAGACTATCGCTAAAATCTGTACATTTTCAATTGCATAATTGAATTTTGAATTCAATACCTATGAAATGAGTGCTTAATTTTGATAATGAACACAATTACAGTGTATCAAATGATTTAGATTTGATAATTTTCAGATTTCTACATAAAAAATCTGATTTTATGAAATCTTCCATCAATGTTTGTCACTCAAACAGTGCAGCATATTTTATTTGAAATACTAATTTCCCAATACCAGTAAATTCTTTTGGGTTTTGTCATCAGAATCTTGTTGCACAGAGGAGGAAGAGAATGGCACAATGTTGCCCATACAGAAGATGGGTCGCCATATTGTACCAGTCCTGCAGCATCTCAAAGACAACAGTCACATGGAGTTAGCATACAGATTCTCCATTCACATGCTGTCACGTTCCACTGAACACGTCACACAGTTTGATATGGGCTTACCACACAGGACAGATGTATGTATATAACGTATTCTTATAGGTACTTTCTCTGTAGGTGAAATTTGAACTACACCTGAATGACACACAAGTGTAGAGTGCTTTATATTCAGGTCACTATGACCTACACCTCCAAAGTTCCAAAGCAACTATTTATATTGAACACAGAACATCAAGTTTCCAAACTGCCTATAATATACTTTATATATCAGCTGTTTTGTTTCTGTATGCCTTTTACTTGAGTCAATATTATCATTATTGGCTAATAATGGGAGATATGTGTTCATGCAATCAAAGTCAAACTTCTGGTTGATCTTGGTCTGATGAAAATTATCCTTGACAATCTGTATTACAGGAACTGTCTAAACTGGCAGAGGAGCAGCAGGCTATACTGAGGGACGTGGAGATGATGGCCGGCCCCTGGATCAAGACCATAGTCACTGCAGTTCTGATGAAGGTACCCTTTTGGTTACTGAATGATTTTTTATGTCAAACACTTGTGTGAAAATACAGTTTTATTGATTGGTTATTTCTGTATTGGCCTAGTTATCGGTCTAAAGGCCTGCTCTAATGGCTTGAGGCGAAGCCGACGCCAATATAGCAGTGCCGAGGACCAATACAGAAATAACCAATCAGTAATGTCTTTATCAAATAACCTCCCAAAATAACAAATGAGAATCAGACAAACACAGAATTGATTTTGAAAACATTTTTTTAATTTTTTTAAGCATCCATAAAACAAAATAAAGTTTGTCAGTCTGTCACTATGAAGTCGCTCTTATTTTTTTATTTTTTTTTAATCATGACACATGTAAGAATAGAGAAAACAAGGGTTGTTGACCACTACAATGAGACATACCTGGCACCCTGAGCAATTCTGTCATCCAACTCCACAAATCATGTCAAATTTAAAGTTGTTGTCTAAATGATTCTCCCTGTCCGACAAGAAATATAAAGCATTCACCACAATATCATCTCCATCACTGCTGTTGAGTCAATTCCTCATCTTTCTGTTTATTAGTATGTCAATATTGTTCATCTGCTCTCCATTTGTTGCCCGGTTTCTTTTGGTAGCAAAACATTGAACCTTCCATTTCAAATGCTAACCTAGAGATTTTCTGAGTGTCGGACTACGTTTGTTTTTCGCGTCGAATCTGTATTGGCTAACTTTTCATGTGTTGGCCGTGTTTTTCTGTATTGACCAACTTTTGGATATGTATTGCCTAAGGCCGATTTTTCTGTATTATGCCAATATCAAGCTAGTTAATTAAAAATGAACAAGTATGTCATATTGAACTTCAATAATTCTTTGAAAAAAGGATATTCCTAAATAATAAATACTGTTGTTGTGTATTGTAAAATTATTTCTGTGACAAGACTACCTTGGAGAAGAATAAACTTTGATAATATATTAGCTTCTTATAAACCAAAATTTAACTTTGTACATATAACCAAAATTTAGCCTTGAACATATAACCAAAATTTAGCCTTGTACATATATAAAGCAATATTTGCCTATATATAAAAGTTACAACTGTATGTGTTTGCCCTATGACGATATGTGTTGTTTGCAATGTAGCTGTAAATAACTTATTGTGTACCCTGTAGATATTTAACAGCCAGAATATTGACCAGAGCCTCGGCATGATGTACATGGCAAGCCGCACAAAGAGGGAGGGAGAGGAGTCCTTAATGAAGATTATACGATCTACAGGACACAACTACAAAAAGCTCAAGGTTACTATATCATTACAGTGTTAGATATATGCAAGGGTTCGACCACAAGGAACAAATACAGTTGTATATAGGTACATCATTAGAAAATACGAGGTTGCATACCAAAATAAGGTCATCGTAACCACCTTTTTGACCTTTGATCTCGGATGCAGAAATATAGATTTCCGGAGCATTTTCAAAGCTGTTTCATCAGCAGACATTACTGACATGTTGGTATATATATATCACGATGAGAAGTTGTATCAGGTATCAAAATGTGAACATCACAACTTTTATCTGACCTTTGACCTTAACTTCAAGGACCAAAATACAGGTGTCCAGCCCATATATTGCCGATCGTTTTTGGGTTTGGAGCTCATACTTGATATGCATGTAAATCATGGTGTCAACGGATGTGTTGTGTACCAAACTGTTGCATTTCCATGGTTACACAGATTGTGATCTTTCTTTCTTTCTATTTTTAAAAATGTATTTATTGAAATATCAAGCTTGGATGGTTTCTTCGAAGCTATATATTGTGTTTCCATTTCAGGCTCTAGCTAAAGTTGGCATTGCAATTGGCCAGCTTCATCATGAACCCAATTTGATAAAAATGTGTGAAACACTGGAGAAAAATGCCACGTGGGGTCACAGACTTGGCAAAATCAAGGTATGAATTATCTGGATAAGGTGAGGAGGATTGATGTTATAATGTTTTTAGGAAGATATTTCTTAATTGAAAGAATTTCAGACACTTGAAGCAGTAATATTTGTACAATCTTATTTAATATATGAGTCTACTTTGAAGTTACCCGATATAAAACCAACTTGCTAACATTTACTTCTTTTTTTTCTAGATAAGTTTCAAAGAAGCTTTCCAGAAACCATCTTCAGAGAAGATCAAGCTGCTGCCCCTGATTGCCCAGTGTGAGGCAGCAGACATGTCACTGGTGAAGGACTTCTGTAGGTATGTTGTAGATTTATATTATACATCTAATTCAGAGAAAGTTACGCAAATGTCTAGACTTATCACCCAGTGCCAATTTCAGCTTTATCTAGCTTTTGTATGGTGTGTATTTAGGTTGGATACCATTAGCTGTTTTTGTTAAGACCAAATGTAGTGCAATTTTTATCTTCAGAATTGTTGGATGTTTTTGCAGCATCAGGAACTTTAACCTGTGGCTATCAGTGTCTGTCCTTTAACTGTAACTTGCCAGAATACTGGACCGTAACTGGCCTGTAACTGTACACTGGACAGTGGCTGTAACGTGTCTTTATACTAGACTGGTACTGTCCTGTATCTGGACAGTGGCTGTAACTTGTCTGTATACTAGACTGTTACTGTCCTGGACACTGGACAGTGGCTGTAACTTGTCTGTATACTAGACTGGTACTGTCCTGTATCTGGACAGTGGCTGGAACTTGTCTGTATACTATACTGTTACTGTCCTGTATCTTGACAGTGGCTGTAGCTTGTCTGTATACTAGACCGTTACTGTCCTGGACACTGGTCAGTGGCTGTAACGTGTCTGTATACTCGACTGGTACTGTCCTGTATTTGGACAGTGGCTGTAACTTGTCCGTATACTAGACTGTTACTTTCCTGGACACTGGACAGGGGCTGTAACGTGTCTGTATAATAGACTGTTACTGTCCTTTATCTGGACAGTAGCTGTAGCTTGTCTGTATACTAGGCTGTTTCTGTTCTGGACACTGGACAGTGGCTGAAACGTGTCTGTATACTAGACTGTTACTGTCCTGTATCTGGACAGTGGCTTTAACTTGTCTGTATACTAGACTGTTACTGTCCTATATCTGGACAGTGGCTGTAACTTGTCTGTATACTAGACATTAATTGACATTAATCTGTGACCATTTATATATTTGACAGTGACTTTAACTTGGACCAGGATGAAGGCCTACTGCTGTTCCTCGACCACATGTTCACGTTACCAGACCATGTGACTCTAGGCGTGTTGGCCAAGCGGTCACTCCTAGCTAAGGCTCGTGCAACCATTCAAGAAATCAAGGAAGACCATATTCTTCTGAACAAACTCCAGATTATCTACAAAAAGGTACTGCCCAATCACCAACAGAATCCATGGTTTGCTATGTTTCAGATATAAATGATATGCAGGGGGGGGGGGGGGGGGGGGGGGGGGGGGGGGGGGGGGCTTCAGAATTTAGAAAGTATAGTGTGCATTCAAAATGGGAATTTAACTCGTACCAGAATATTTTGATTTCGTCTAATTGTCATTAAAAAGATTAAAAAGATTTCGTTACCAAAGCTTATATATGTTATGAAGCATCATATACAATTTTAAAAATTGTTTCAGTTTTTTAATCAACAACTTTTGGACAAAGAATCAACGGGAAAATCCAATTTTTTGTGGGTAATGAGGCCGAAATTCAGTCCTGATTGGACTTCAAAAAACACAATGCTTTGTGATATTTCTACTATTACTGCTATTGACAGACATATAATCTTTTGAAGGTTGATTATATCAACAGCGTGACACTTTACGTACAAATTCAGATAGAAATACTCTAAACCCAGTGGACCATAATGACATTTCTGTAGGGTAAAGCCAGAAATATTAGATTAATCTTAAGATGTAACAGTCTATCAGTTAACCCATACTGTATTGATAAGATAAGCTCTTGGAAAAATACATGTAGAAGAAAATATATAATATGTATACTGGGAAAGTTTTGCCCAGTAAAACTTTCACCCTTCTACCATAAATTCAATTTTTGTCCAGTGCTAGTTTCGCCCTTCATATAAAATTGATATGTATATTATGTTGTCTACCTATATTCACTGTAATGATAAATTTGCCTTCGTTACGTTTTGCAAAAAAGGTAAAATATCTAACTACGACGAACATTTCCTGGTATACAGTATATGATGCCTACCAACAAATTATTGGTGTGAAGGTCGCGAATTATCTAAGACACAGTGAACAAATCTTAATCTTGGTAGACACTGACATCTCCCTTGTTTGATAATAATTTTTAAACCTTTGTTTCTGTACTAACTTTCAGACTGATGCATATGACTATGAGACCCTAGAATTTCTCCTGAATGAAATGCAGAATATAGACCGAGATCCTCAAAGAGAAACCGTAAGTATTACATATAAAAATGGCCATAACAGATATACATGTATTCATAGAAACTTTATGCTTTATTATAAGGTAAAGTAGCAAAGTCTCAAGCACAGTGGATTTGTACTGTTATTGAATACAGCCAGACATACAGCGTTTGTTCAAAGACATGCTTGTTAGCTTTAAGTTATTTGAAAAATAAACGACTGAAAGTAATGCACAGAAATTAATCCATACTTTATGCAGTTGATCACCAAACTTTAATGTATTAATTAAGTTACATGGAAATGATCGATACTTTATACAGTTGATCACCAAACTTTAATGTATTAATTAAGTTACATGGGAATGATCCATACTTTATACAGTTGATCACCAAACTTTAATGTATTAATTAAGTTACACAGAAATTAATCCATACTTTATACTGTTGATCACCAAACTTTAATGTATTAATTAAGTTACATGGAAATGATCCATCCTTTATACAGTTGATCACCAAACTTTAATGTATTAATTAAGTTACACTGAAATTAATCCATACTTTATACAGTTGATCACCAAACTTTAATGTATTAATTAATTTACATGGAAATGATCCATACTTTATACAGTTGATCACCAAAATTTAATGTATTAATTAAGTTACATGGAAATGATCGATACTTTATACAGTTGATCACCAAACTTTAATGTATTAAATAAGTTACACAGAAATTAATCCATACTTTATACTGTTGATCACCAAACTTTAATGTATTAATTAAGTTACATGGAAATGATCCATCCTTTATACAGTTGATCACCAAACTTTAATGTATTAATTAAGTTACATGGAAATGATCCATCCTTTATACAGTTGATCACCAAACTTTAATGTATTAATTAAGTTACACAGAAATTAATCCATACTTTATACAGTTGATCACCAAACTTTAATGTAATAATTAAGAAGTTTTTCCAACTTTGAAGGTTACAGAGACTGAAGATAAAAGTCACTTATTCTATTAAACAATATCTTAAGAGTTAAGAACAGCTTTTGCAAACTGTATGTTTTAATGTGAAGGTCACAATGGTATTTGGTTGATCAAATTCATTCACATACAAACCAAATGTTAAAAATAATTCCAAACTCTCATTGATGTTTTGGTTGCAGGTGTTATTATGAATTGTGACATAAAGTGTTTAGATAATTGAAGCTTTCTGTGGAAATATTTCAATTATTTTGCTATTTTTATGGGGGAGTAATGGTGGGGAATAAGCATGAGGCTTACATTTCTAGTTAGGATTTGAAACTAAGATTTTTTGTTTGTTTGGAGAGATTATAAATGAATAGCATTTCATTGGCAGAGTTTGAAGCTGTTAAGTTACCTGAAGGTGTATATCCGTAGAAAACCCCCAGCAGAGTATGAGTTACGCTACCAGCCTGATGGAGATAAGGAAGATGTGAGTATTTCATAATCAAGAAAATTGTCAAGAACTAGCCAAAAATTTAACACTAGTTAAGAAAATCACTTTCAACCATAAAGAGACAACATTGATCAATAATGGAAGCTGTTCAGGAGTTTTGAGAGAAATTATGAAAGAAAAGATACAATGGATAAGGTATCTTAATATTCTTGACCAAGATTATGTATAAGGATTTTTGTATTTAGGTACAGGCTTCAAACAGAAGATCAAGGGACCTAGAAATAGGATGCAGATACATGTATTACACAGTTTTATCTCAATGAGAGAGGGTCCATTCAATTGATCTGCAGAATCTGGGGTCACAGTTATTACAGTATTTTGATTTAATTATTGATACTATAGTATATGATCATGCTATCAATGGGTATAGGTTTTGATTGGTCAGTGTTTGTTTTAACAGCTGATTAATACTATGGTATATGATCATGCTATCAATGGGTATAGGTTTTGATCGGTCAGTGTTTGTTTTAACAGCTGATTAATACTATGGTATATGATCATGCTATCAATGGGTATAGGTTTTGATCGGTCAGTGTTTGTTTTAACAGCTGATTAATACTATGGTATATGATCATGCTATCAATGGGTATAGGTTTTGATCGGTCAGTGTTTGTTTTAACAGCTGATTAATACTATGGTATATGATCATGCTATCAATGGGTATAGGTTTTGATCGGTCAGTGTTTGTTTTAACAGCTGATTAATACTATGGTATATGATCATGCTATCAATGGGTATAGGTTTTGATCGGTCAGTGTTTGTTTTAACAGCTGATTAATACTATGGTATATGATCATGCTATCAATGGGTATAGGTTTTGATCGGTCAGTGTTTGTTTTAACAGCTGATTAATACTATGGTATATGATCATGCTATCAATGGGTATAGGTTTTGATCGGTCAGTGTTTGTTTTAACAGCTGATTAATACTATGGTATATGATCATGCTATCAATGGGTATAGGTTTTGATCGGTCAGTGTTTGTTTTAACAGCTGATTAATACTATGGTATATGATCATGCTATCAATGGGTATAGGTTTTGATCGGTCAGTGTTTGTTTTAACAGCTGATTAATACTATGGTATATGATCATGCTATCAATGGGTATAGGTTTTGATCGGTCAGTGTTTGTTTTAACAGCTGAGGATCATTATGGACATGCTGCCACCAAACAGCAAGACGAGACTTCCTCTTCACCCGTTCAACGAGGGCGAGGCATGGAAAATCATCAGTGAGTCTTCCCTATTACCGCAAATATTTGTCATTTTTATGCCCCCGCGATAAAATGGGGGGGGGGGGGGGGGGGGCATATAGTGTTGCCCATGTCTGTACCGTCCTGTCCCATCCATGAGCAGGGGCATTTATGTCTTACAGACATTTTCTAGTTTTAAATATCACTGTGGAAGAAATATGTCGTTTGAATTGCTTATTTATAACAATGGTTTTAATAACAATATTGGTATTGATAACTTTCAACCATTTGTCTGTAGAGTTCATTAAATAAAGCCTCATTAGTGCAAGGTATCTGTAAATTTCTCTCCCCACCAACACAAAAAATACCCACTGAAATTGGCAGAAATTACATGAATATTTCTTTAAAAAGTCTTCAGTTTGTCAAATTTCATGGCTAAAATTGTGCACAAAACATATGTTGTTGCCTCAGCACCAGAACTGGAGAAAGAAACAGTGATGACTTGGCTGCCCATTGCTGACCTGTTGAAGGTTAGTTACATTTGTAAATATTTACATTCTGTATGCTTAGACCCATTGACAAAAATTACATTCATAAATGCATAACACAGGTGTTCATAGAATCTCAGCACGTGGGAACTGATAGTAACCTGATCACACTGCGTAGTAATACACTACAAAAACTACTCACTCGGAACGACCGACCTAGATGCTTAATTCTTACATCTTAAAACATTATTGAACTGTGCTTTGTAAAATATCCACGTATTCACGTGTCCTGTGCTACAAATAAACATTGAATATGGAACTACATTTTGTTGTGTTATTGTTGTTGCAGTTGCTAAGATCTCTCACGATAGTGTCACATTTCCCCGCGAAAAAACACTGTTCTCGCCACTGCGTTGCACCCGTGTATAAGCAGGAACAAACCCTGATTATTTGTTTTATTCGTTGTTATATCAATCCACTGAAAGGATTCGTCAATGTAAATATAAGGAATGATATTTATTTTTTCAACATTTATGAGGTCATAACAACAATGGGTTTTTGGACATATTTGACCTGAATCGCTAACGCGATTCATTCAATATGTCCATAAACCCATTGTTGTTATGACCTCATAAATGTTGAAAAAATAAAAATCATTCCTTAAATGAGACTTGCCTAATTCAAGAAATTCAAATTCATAGCAGATACTAATAAGTTACTTTCCAAATAATAGATAAAGGACCATTTAATACTGTGAATTCCGTATTATTTTTCAATCAGTTAATATGTCTAAAGTAATACAAACTTTTAATTTTGAAATTGAAATTACTTTTCATCAATAGAAAAGAAAGGTTTGATATTTTATCCTAACACAAGTTTTAAATTAATTTGACCTTAGCTATCCGCAGACCAGATCTACATTGTGACTGTCCAGAACATGGTGCGCAAACATGTGCAGCTGAACAAGAAGCCAGCGGTGGGCAGTGCAGCAATCATGGACAAGAGCCTATGGAACTGGAATGTAAAGGATGCCAACTTGTCGCTGCTCAGCGATGTCCAGATGCTGCTGAGGAACGTGTCCAAATGTGAGCTGGCCCTGGCCTGTGCTAGCTGGATGGTTAAAGAACTCCCACTTGGTATGTAAGCTGATGAACAATTGTTTCTTACTGTTATAAACAAGCCATAATTCTTTTGAATTTTTTAGAAAACAACCCTACTTTCTCCTAATTCATGATTTGACATCTTTATTTGTGATGCGAGGCGTTGTGCTGTCATTTCCAGAAGGGTAATGTGAAATACCAAAAATATGGCATGGGTCATGAGAGAATGGTGTTTATATTGGAAACATACAAGATGTCAATGTTGAAAAAATTTGCCACTTGAAGGCATGGAAATTGTGAACAGAAATTTCTATTAAACAGAAAAGAAATTGTGTTATTTTGTATGCTTGTTAATAAGAAAATCTTCAGATTGAGTTTTTGTTAATAAAGGTGCTGAGAAGGTAGAGGCTCTACAGGGATGTATTCGCTATGCAGAGTTGTGGCATAGAGCTGTTAAAGACAAGGTGGGTCTCTGAAACATTATATTGGCTATAGTCAATCGTTAATACTACAGGGATGTATATGCTATGCAGAGTTGTGACACAGAGCTGTGAAAGACAAGGTGGGTCTCTGAAACATTATATCAGCTACAGTCAGTCGTTAGTACTACAGGGATGTATACGCTATGCAGAGTTGTGACACAGAGCCGTGAAAGACAAGGTGGGTCTCTAAAACATTATATCAGCTACAGTCAGTTGTTAGTACTACAGGGATGTATACGCTATGTAGAGTTGTGGCACAGGGCCGTGAAAGACAAGGTGGGTCTCTGAAACATTATATCAGCTCTAGTCAGTCGTTAGTACTACAGGGATGTATACGCTATGCATAGTTGTGGCATAGAGCCGTGAAAGACAAGGTGGGTCTCTGAAACATTATATCAGCTCTAGTCAATCGTGTAGATTTGTGGCACAGAGCATTGATAAAAAAAGGTAGATGTATTCAAGGTCACATTCTATCAGCTCTGGTCAGTCATCATGATAACAGAATTTAAAGTGTTTGATCAGCATGGTGATCGTGGAGGGGGTAGGTGACAAGAGGCTGGCTGCCTCATGCAGTTTGTGTTGGATCTTTGAACAGTAAATGTATAGATATTGCTTTCATGATTCTTGGTGTAATCTTTGCTGGTACCTTGGGCCTGTTTGTTTAAGCGGAACAATGGTTTGTGCGTTTATAAATTAACAATTTCAGGTATTAATCCTGACGGACCTGCAAATGTTTGTGCAGGCCTTGCATGGCTTTGTCAAGGCTTGCCTGAAAGCAGCATCAGATTACTAGGTCTGAACTTACTTAATAAACAAACAACTGTGGTCCGAATGTTTATACTGATTTGAACTAAAGAGCAGTAGGAGAGACCAATACCTTTCTCCCACAATCTCTAATGGTTTCCTCCTCTCCAACTAAAGGGTTGAACCTGCTAGGAGTTGGTAAACATTTTTGGCTACCCAGTAGTGGACGTGATTTCATTGGTCAGTCTTATAATTATGATGTCAAGTAACAGTGCTTTGCGACATCATCATCCATGGTGATGTCACAGTTCATGGCAATTCTTTCCCACATCAGAAACAGGAATAATGTGTTCCTCCCAAGAGAAACGTATGGTTTTCTAGATATAATAACAGAACATTGTAGGGGGAAAAAATGTCGGTGGTACTTCATTATCATGTTTATCTAAGTAGATTTAGTTAATTTTCAAATTGTATAAATACACGAGGACCAACCACCACTCGTTGAAGGGTTTCTATTTCACAAGAAAGTCACTACTTTTCTTTTAAAAAATAATGTTGCATCATTAAGACAAAACAATTTGTAATGCACCCGAGGATCTTATATAAAATTATTTGAGAACTTTGATATTAATAAGGTATCAAATAAAGAACGTTTCCATGTTTAATAAATTGATAGCAGCTATTAGTTTTATGATAATGATTGATTATTAAACTCATTCTTTGCTGCAGACGACAGAGAAAGAAAAAGCCATGAATGCCTTTGTAAAGTTTACTGGGATGTGGCAGAGACTGGCGACAGAGCAGGTTCTCTTCGTATATAAGGTGGCCGAGACTGAACTCGTATCACTGGCAGGCAACCCCAACAAACTCCTTCTCAAGTTGTACGAACACAACAGCATCGTCGACCAGGAAATTGCAGAGAAGGACAAACCTGGTAGGGACACGGTAGCATTGTATCTGTACGGTAGAATCATCCTGATGATATTTTAGAGGAATAGTTCATTGTCAAACCTTCTAATGTTCTAATACCTGTCAAAATTTCTTATATTTCAATACCTGTCAAAACTTATTTCTTTCTTATGGTGCTGATCCCGGTTTCATATCCTGTGACTAATATCAGGTTTGTGTCTGAATCTGGTATCATGTTTTCTTTTTGGTTATATGAACTCAGTTTTTATGTCTTGTGACTAGAGAATCACCTGATGTTCTAGGATTTTATCCAATCACATTCACTCCATTTCACTCCTTCAAAAATTAATGCTGAATGGTTTAACTGTGTATGGCAAGGCTTAGTTTGTAGTTATAACTCGAAACCTGTTTTACAGACATCCACAGGATTGCCGAGGACATAGCCAGTATTCATAACGTAGACCTGGAGCAGCTTCGACTCTCTCTGCTGTACAGATGGCTGCCATCCGTCAAATCCAAACAGGGGGGCTCAGACTCGGTACTCACGCTTAATTTTACCCAGAATACAATCAAATGTGTTTATAAGTCATCTCCAGGACCCAGATATATTGATTTTTAAAACATGATTCAAAAAATATTCAGGGTTTAAAACTGAATTCCCACTATTACATGTATACGGTTATTTGTTGTTAGACTGTAATGCTTTGGGACAGTTTAGGTATCAAGTTAGATTTACATTAAGTGACGATGCTACACAATTGACTTAATGAATGGATTCTTTCTAAGCTTTGTGAATGAATGTTGCTGCATAAGTTGTTTATTAGTTTTTTAGGTCACCTGAGCTTTAGCTCAAGTGACCTATTGCTATCCGTTTTCGTCCGTCGTCGTCCGTCGTCCGTCGTCCGTTAACATTTTACATTTCAAACTTAAAGTCAAGTTCTGCTGGGCCGATTGAACTGAAAGTTGGTAGGAATGATCGCCTCATGGTCCTGACAAAGTGTTGTTATTTTTCGGGTCGATCAGAAATCCAATATGGCCGCCACGGCCGCCATTTTGAAAACCTATTTCAAACTTAAAGTCAAGTTCTGCTGGACCGATTGAACTGAAAGTTGGTAGGAATGATCGCCTCATGGTCCTGACAAAGTGTTGTTATTTTTCGGGTCGATCAGAAATCCAATATGGCCGCCACGGCCGCCATTTTGAAAACCTATTTCAAACTTAAAGTCAAGTTCTGCTGGACCGATTGAACTGAAAGTTGGTAGGAATGATCGCCTCATGGTCCTGACAAAGTGTTGTTATTTTTCGGGTCGATCAGAAATCCAATATGGCCGCCACGGCCGCCATTTTGAAAACCTATTTCAAACTTAAAGTCAAGTTCTGCTGGACCGATTGAACTGAAAGTTGGTAGGAATGATCGCCTCATGGTCCTGACAAAGTGTTGTTATTTTTCGGGTCGATCAGAAATCCAATATGGCCGCCACGGCCGCCATTTTGAAAACCTATTTCAAACTTAAAGTCAAGTTCTGCTGGACCGATTGAACTGAAAGTTGGTAGGAATGATCGCCTCATGGTCCTGACAAAGTGTTGTTATTTTTCGGGTCAATCAGAAATACAATTTGGCTGCCATGGCCGCTATTTTGCTACTAAGTTCTAATAGGCCGATCTCACTTAAAATTGGTCTAGGAATGATCAGCTCATGGTCCTGACAAAGTTAAGTTAACATTATACTATTTTTTACTCAAATTGGTACATATTTCAACCACAAAAATAAATACTGTAGACTCAGGAGACCGTTTAGGCCCATGGGCCTCTTGTCTTATTCCGAGTCACTGACAAAGCTGATGACTTTGTATGCCATGAATTTGTCCATGTTAAAATAATTAGATTTGAGCTATCATCATAACAACAATTGGTAATGTTGAGGTCCTGTTCAATGGTCAGTGATTTGTATTCGCATCACATCGATTTGTTTCCAGACTGTGACATTTAGTTTTGATCAACTTAACCTGGGAGATGAGACGATGATGTCCGCAGATGACGATGATGAGGATGCTAATCTCAGAAGGTCAGTATTAGTCTTGTGTTTGTTGATGCTGGGCCTCTTAGGATATTTAGATGACATGTGTTAGGTCTGGAATTATATGCCCTCTATCATATTCGAGAAGCATTTAGTCTTTGCCTTTTACACCAGTCGGTTTATTGGTCATCTTGGTTAGATTTTGCATTTAATTCCACAACTTCAATACTAGAAAACCAACCATTATCAAACTTCATGTGGGTGCTGGAGGTAACCTCAGTATGATAAGGATATACATGATGTAATAATTTAATCTTGCTTGTAACAAGCATTTTCATTGGCTTAAAAATTGATGTTATCGGCCCATGACGTAAAAAAATGACGTTGCCGTTTGTAACGTTACTTTTGATTGGCTGATACAGCAGCGCAATCATTTCTAAGTGAAATCCATGAGTCCATCAATAAAAGTGGATTTCCACAGGGATTGTGTATATTAGATTAAATTATAAGGATTAACTTGAATATATTTTTCATGTTATGGAGCTATAACACAAAAACGGAGTGTACTCTCATCATAAACCGCTTTTTATACACCCGTCGAAGACGGAGACGTATTATGTTATCACGTGAGCGGGCGGGCGGGCATGCATGCATGCGTGCGGGCGGGCGGGCATGCGTGCATGCGTGCGAACGATGTCCGCTCAATATCTCAAGTAATTATTAACGGATTAACTTCAAACTTCACAACAAGGTTAATTACCATGAAACCTCAGACAAGTTCGATAACCGCCATTATCCGACCATAATTTGTGGAGTTATGCCCCTTTATGGACTTGGCGAAACAGTGTCCGCTCGATATCTCGAGTAATTATTAACAGATTAACTTCAAACTTCACAACAAGGTGAAAGCTCAGACAAATTCGATATCCGCCATTATCCGACCATAATTTGTGGATATCCGCTCAATAACTAGAGTGCCTTACAACTGGCACACGAACAATGTCCTCTTTTTTTATGGAATTCCATGATGGCGTGGCATTTAATGGAGTGATGCCCTTGCTTCCAGTGCACTCATTGATCTACCAGTTATGTTGAATGATTTCTCTTTTAATATCAATTACTCACAAATACTTCATATATTTCAATCATACAAACAACTGCTCATTCAATGTGTGACGGCGTATTATATACCGCTCGCCGTAACCTTGTTTGTGTTATAGCTCCATAACATGAAAAAAATATATTCAAGTTAATCCTTAATTAACATAGATCACCAAGAACGATATTCTGCTTGACCAACTAGTTAGAGCTTGTGCTTAGCTCCATTTCTTTTGCATATAGATGCTTGTCTTTTTTAATAGACTTTGCATTTAGCTCCTTGTGTTTGGCTAGACTTTCTGCTTACAGTGAATAATTAACATCTTGTAAAAAGTAGCTGTGTTGTTATTCTAGAGTGCTGTATATACTGCAGAGAGGATCGAGAGAGAAGAATGCCATGTTCTTGTTTGAGTTTGCATTTAAGGTAAGAACCATAATATTTTCTGTCAATTTGTAGAGAAACAGCCTTTGGGTTGGATGTAAAGTCTGTAAGACAACATTCGTGCATCCAAATTATCATTATTTTGGCTGTTTACATATTACTGATAATCTTTGGTGGGTTGTTGATAGGAAAAGAAGATGGAGGAAGCTTGCAACATCACGAACATGTGTCGTGTGCGAGCTCTGCGCTGTCTTCTGCAGATAGGGGACAAAGCTGCCATACAGAAATTGTTCCACAAATCTCTGGATCAAGTAAGGTAGGTCACACTGTTAATAGGGGCAGTCACATGGGGATATACAAGTTCATATTTAGAGTACAAGTCTGCAGAAAATTTTTTGAAAACCCCATAATGTAAGTGGAATTTTCTTATTCCAAGGTCTACATATATAAATCTTTGTCATGACATATCCCTAATGTTAGGTTGATCTTCAATATTTTCTGATGTCGGTTGATCTGCTTTATCAATACATATTTATATGGATTTTCTATGCAGACACATGATGAGGATGATGCTGTACTTGGTGGACCTGGAAAATCTCCATATCCTCCACACAGTACAGAGTTTTGAGGAGGCCAATAAGGAGGGACTTATCAAGGGTATCTGGAGGAATCATCGCCACCAAAAAACTGTAACTACTTTCTACCAACATTCTCCACCTGAAATTCTCTGACAGAATATCATTATATTGCAATAACTTATATACAATTTTGAAAATATGACATGGAGAAATGTGTTTGCTGAATTCTTTTTCGTTTTTAGTATACTATACTGTACATACACTTTTCTTTCTGTTGTAATGTCGGAGACAAACTGGAAATGAGTTTTAAAATATGAGATTAGGCTATGATCTTTAAATCTATGCATTATAGTAACTTGCAGCATACTTTGTTTTGGGCACAATATTTCATATAAATCTGATGCATGCTAGATAAAAAGTTTCCAGTAAACCATCATAAAAAGGTCAACCTACTTTCATCAGGAGGTTGTATAAAAACATCAATATGAGAGAGAACATTAGGGTTGAAGTGTACTATACTGTTATACAGGCAGCCCTGCTGGTGGCTTCTCTGTGCCTCGACTACAACATACACGACCTCCAGCTCTGGACCAGTGTGCTGCAACAACTACACTCATTCCAGCTGGTAAGTCATAGAGTATAGGGGCTTTCACTGTCATGATACCTTACACTTTTTAATTTGTTGAGGGTAGTAATTGAATATCATTTTACTGTGAGAGTCATGTATAGACCTATACTTCACATTCTGTTCAATATATATCAGATTGTTTCCCGGAACACAAATTGCTATAGCACTATTGTAATCTGATGTTCAGTTTAATTAAGTGCACGACACCTTATGATCATTTTTTCTGACAGTTATTTAGTTGATATTTGTCCATTTGGAAATAATACATGAATAAAATGAAAACGTGGGAAGTCTTTACATCAGAAAATAGCTTGCCTTATAATGATATAGACATGTGCCACCAAAGTGTCTTTCTTGTTGATTTATATCCATTTTGTGTAAATTGGTTTGACTTTTGACTCTTTTAAGTTGTCTCCCCTGGAATACGTGCTGAAGAGACTGGCTAGTGTTGTGAAGATGAGACAGATACCTGTGCTTCCCAATCTTTGGCAGGTCATCCTCTCTACTCCCTTAACTAAAGGTACAAATCCAGTATAGATCAGGTCTTATTACTTACCAAGCCAAGGGTAATGATCTCATTGTGTAAGCATGATCTACAAAATGACAACCTTAAGACATCCAAGAAAATATTTTCGCACGGATGATGAAATAAATCTGCTGGGAACATACATTGTATATTACACCACTTAATTAATTCAAAAAGGATTGATAGCCTTTTGCATTTACACTATTTTGTAATAGAAAGTTAAGTTTCATTTATATATATCTGTGACTAATACATTGGTTTACTGTTGTGTGTTGTTGTTTTCCTTCCACAGTTGCTGTCCACTTGACTCTCAGCCAAACAGAGCTGTGTGTGCGATACTTCAACCTCATCCTTCAGTAAGTTCTCATTTGTTCCATATCAAAACTCCAGGAAAAACATAGTGTTGGCATGACAGTGTGTCTCAGATGTTATCATCAGATGTACCCACAGTAACACTTAATCATTGTACCCACAGTAACCCTAAATGACTGTACCCACGGTAACCTTAAATCATTGTACCCACGGTAACCCTAAAATGACTGAACCCACAGTAATCCTAAATCATTGTACCCACGGTAACCCTAAATCATCGTACCTGCAGTAACACTTAATCCTTAAACCCATGGTAACCCTAAATCATTGTACTCACATTAACCCTAAATCATTGTACCTGCAGTACCCCTTAATCATTGTACCCACGATAACCCTAAATCATTGTACCCACAGTAACACTTAATCATTGTACCCACAGTAACACTTAACCATTGTACCCAAAGTAACACTAAATCATTGTACCTGCAGTACCACTTAATCATTATACCCACAGTAACTCTAAATCATTGTACCTGCAGTAACCCTAAATCATTGTACCCACAGTAACACTTAATCATTGTACCCACGGTAACCCTAAATCATCGTACCTGCAGTACCACTTAATCATTATACCCACAGTAACACTAATTCATTGTACCCACGGTAACCAAAAATCATTGTACCCACAGTAACCCTAAATCATTGTACCCACGGTAACCCTAAATCATCGTACCTGCAGTACCACTTAATCATTGTACCCACGATAACCCTAAATCATTGTACCCACAGTAACACTAAATCATTGTACCCACAGTAACACTTAATCATTGTACCCACGGTAACACTTAATCATTGTACCCAGAGTAACACAAATTCATTGTACCCACGGTAACCCAAAATCATTGTACCCACAGTAACCCTAAATCATTGTACCCACGGTAACCCTAAACTATCGTACCTGCAGTAACACTTAATCCTTAAACCCGCGGTAACCCTAAATCATTGTACTCACATTTACCCTAAATCATTGTACCTGCAGTACCACTTAATCATTGTACCCACGGTAACCCTAAATCATTGTACCCACAGTAACACTTAATCATTGTACCCACGGTAACACTTAATCATTGTACCCACAGTAACACTAAATCATTGTACCCACAGTAACACTAATTCATTGTACCCACGGTAACCCTAAATCATTGTACCCACAGTAACACTTAATCATTGTACTCACGGTAACACTTAATCATTGTACCCACAGTAACACTAAATCATTGTACCCACAGTTACACAAATTCATTGTACCCACGGTAACCCTAAATCATTGTACCCACAGTAACCCTAAAACATTGTACCCACTGTAACATTTAAACATTGTACCCACAGTAACCCTAAATCATTGTACCCACAGTAACATTTAATCATTGTACTCATAGTAACCCTAAATCATTGTACCAACAGTTACCCTAAAACATTGTACCCACAGTAACACTTAAACTTTTTACCCGCAGTAACCCTAAATCATTGTG